CTTCTAGCCTCTAGAACTCTGAGAAAATGACTTTCTGTTTAAGCTACAGCCTGTGGTATTGTGTTAAGCCTGTCCTAGCAAACTGGTATGCTGTCTCTCTCTGAGGGTCCTGATCAGAGAGGTCTGGCTGGAGGCTGGCCACGTCCACTGAGGGATCTAGGCTCAGTTACTTCCTAAGAGCCTCTCTGCTGTTTCCATTTCCCCGTGTGTGTGTGTGTGTGTGTGTGTGTGTGTGTGTGTGTAATGAGTGGAAACCTGGTTTGCAGAGGAGAGTGATTCCTGGGATAGGACAGACAACCAAAAGGAAAGAAGAATTAGACCTGGAAGTGAAGGGGGAAGGGAAAAGGAGAAAGAGAAGATATAACCAGAGTTTATGAAGTGACAGAAAGGAACCGGAAACAGGTGAGGAAAAACCGAGGCGAGGAGAGAAAGCTGTTGGGTTAAGGAAGGGAGAATATGAGAAGGGGTTGAGAACAGAGAGGCCTGGTAAAAGCTCAAGGTAGGAGATGGAAACTGGAAAGACAGACAGAGGCGAGGAGCAAGAGTGAGGCTGGAAAAAAAATGCAGAAAGGGAGAAAAGACAGAAATAATAGGCTCTGCATTCTCTAAGAGCCGGGGTGGCTCTACCAGGTTCTGCCCCTCCCTCCCATGGAGTCAGTGGCACAAGCTATCTGGACTTAAGAACACAGAGCTGGGCCTGGGGAAGTGGAAGGAACCTCAGGCTTCCAGGCAGAAATCCCCTACTCCTTAGGCCTGGGCAGTCCTAAGTCCTAAGTCCTAAGTCCTTGTTTGCTCCCAGCAAGTCTCCTGTACTGAGGGCTTGAGTGAGCTAATTTCTGTAGAAGAGGAAAAGGAGGGGAGAGAAAAACAGAAAGAAGACAAAGGAGAGGCTTGCTGGGAACCTGAGGACACCGTCAGGTGAGCAGTGACCAGGTTGGGATCCCAGGGGCCACAGCCCTGTGCCAGAGCCCAAGGCTCTGATATGGGAAGAATTCATCTCTTCACCCATTCATCCCAGTATGTTCTGTGCTCTATGAAGTGGGAGACGTGGTGAGAAAAGGAGACTCCTACCCTCCTAGCACCTGCAGGCCAGTGGAGCAGAGGAGACCTACACGGTGCCTAGCAGGTTCTTGCTGAGACATTATTTCCCTCACAGATCGACTTCCTTTCTTTTCTTTTTTGAGTTGGAGTCATACTCTGTCACCCAGACTGGTGCTCCCAGCCACTACAGTCTCGACCTGCTGGGCTCTGGCAATCCTTCTGCCTCAGCCTTCCAAGTAGCCAGAACTACAGGTGTGCGCTACCACACCCGGCTATTTATTTATTTATTTATGTATCTATTTATGTATTTATTTATTTATTTATTGTAGAGACAAGGTCTCGCCAAGTTGCCCAGGTGGGTCTCGAACCTGCGGGCTCAGGCAATCCACTCGCCTCCACCTCCCAATGTGTTGCTGGGATTACAGGCTGAGCCACCGAGCCCGGCTGATTGGCTTCCTTTCTAGGGCGAGACTTCCTCCTCACCCAGGGTCTCCACGCAGGCCCTTAGTTTCAAGCTTGCCCACTAACCAATGATCCCTGGAGCCAGCCACAGCTTGTCAGCTTGTCAGCTCAGTTGAGGCTCACCAAAGCGGGTGGGATGATTGATAGGATGCCACACTGCCTTTCTCAGGAACCTAGACTGTCAGAGGGAACACTGCCAACTCAAAAGAATGAATCTGAAGAAACGCCCACCTGGGGCCCTTCCTACTTACCACACACAAGTCAGTGGCATCGGCTATGGACCAGCTTTCTGGAGTTGGGAGCACAGAACTGGGCCTGGGGAAGGAGAGAGAGCCTCAAGGTGCCAGGCAAGACCTCCCCACCACTTCCCACTTAGGCCTGGGTGGTTCAGCAGTAGTTGGCTCCCAACAAGTCTCCTGTGCTGAGGGCTTGAGTGACCGATAGAGCCAGTGAGGCACAGGAGATTTTCCAGCAAAGTGCTGAAGATGATGTTGGCCACGCTTGTCTTTCTGAAATGTTTCTTTCCCTGCTGCTTAGTGCCAGCTACTATGTGAGTGTGTGTGTTTGCGAGGATGGGATAGACCATGATGACTAAGACAACATTCTTTCACAGCTCATAATCTAGTGGGAGGAGTCACGTCAATGACTGTGGCTGTGATAAGAGAGGTAAGTACTACAGAAGAGAGAAGTCTGGAGAAGCCTGCTCGAGAGGGTGGGATATAAATTGGCCTATCTAGGATGAACAGGGCCTTGCAAGCAGGAACAGCTTGGGTAGGGAGAGCAAGCTTTTGGAAGGCAGAGTAAGACTTGGTCGGAGGAGCACAATTTTTAAGGAGAGGAGGTTTTTTTTGTTTTAAAAAAATGGATCAGGGTTTTGCAGGGGGAGTTGCACTTTGTAATGAGACAAGGGGGCTTTACAGGAAGTGCAGGAATTTTAGAGGAGCAGGGTTTTGGAGGAACAGGGCTTTGTACAGAGAAGTGGGCTTTGTAGGGAGAGAAGGGCTTTTTAATTTGAAAATGGTTGTGTATGGTGGGCAGGGTTTTATACGAGGAACAGGGCTTTGTAGTAGGACTAGGGCTTTGTAAGAAGAGAAGGGCTTTTTTTTTCTTCTTCTTTTTAAGAATGGGGCTGATGCCAGGTAAGTTTTAATTATATTGAGAAAAAAAAAGTGTAACTGGAAATAAAAGGCAAGTCATTCAACATGAATGAGACTCTTAAATCCCTGTAATTCTTTAATGGCAGCACTTGGTCCTGCCATGCAAGCAAGGTTTAATCCAGCCAAGATGCTGGGAGGCAGAGTACACAGTCTTGTCCATCAAACCAATGAGGGTGATGGACCCCAGGGTGCTCTGCTTGCTGGGTTCTCCCGTGTAATAGCCATCAGTGTAAAGAACTCGTCCAATCATCCAGGCCAAGCCCAAGCCAGAAACTACACTCGGGTGGTAAACACCTCCAACAGCTAGAAAAAATAAGAAGGGAGGATATACCGCCAACATGTTCTGGTGGGCTCGCTGAATGCAGTTGAAGAGGTGCCCGTTTTCAGGGTCCGTGATGTATGTACATGGTAGGACACTCCACCTTGTACTTCTTGCCGGCCTTGGAGGCACTGATGGCCAGATGAGTCACCATGACAGAGCTGGCAGCACCAGTTAGAAGCACCAAACTGTATTCCTTAGAGAGGACGGCCATCTTGGCTCTGGATCACCTGCGTGCGGCTGGTGCAAAGGCTGGTGCAGACCGGAGCTGCCCAGTGCAGGGTGGGTGCAGCCGAGAAGGGCTTTTAAATGAGTCGTTTTTGTATGATGGGCAGGGTTTTGTAGGAGGAATAGAGCTATGAAAGGCGCATGACTGAGTGAGAAGGAATGGGCTTTATTTGTAAGGAAAGCAGGGCTTGTAGCATTTTCAGGGCTCTGTAGGGAAGAGCCAGGGTTTACAGCAGGATCCGGGCTTTAGAGAAGATTTTGTAAGGATAAGGCGGGCTTTGTAAGGACAAAGTGGGATTTGTAGGAGGTGAGGCTTTGTAAGGAAGAGCAGGGATCTGCAGAGGGTTAAGTGGTTCCTATGAGGAGCAGGACTTTGTAGGACCACAGGGCCTCCCTGGAGAATCAGGCCTTTGTGAGTAGGAGGAGGGTTTGGAGGAGGAGTGGGATTCGGAGGAGGAGTGGGATTCGTAGGGAGTAGCAGGGATTTTTAAGGAGCAGGGTTCCGGGAGGGGGAGCAGAGCGCTGTAAGCAGCAGCCTCAAGGCTATGTAGGAGCATGGCTTCCTAGGAGGACCAGAAGTTCTTCGCAGGAGCAGGGCTTTTTAAAGAGGTCAGGGCTTTGTAGATGGAGCATTGCTCCCTAAGGGGGAACAGCACTGTGAAGGAGAGGTTTTGTAAGGACAGCATGATTTGGAGGAGGGGCAGGGCAGTGCCAAGATGGCTGAGCGTCTGAGGAGGAACGGGGCTTTGTTGGTTTCCATGGTAGTGATTGTTGTGCATTTACCCTGTCTGGGGATGATTCGCCTTTTGTTCGGGAGGTATCCCAGCACCCCAGATTCCATGGCAAGGGTTGCGGTGCTCCTAGCAAAATACTACCTGCAAATTCCTCAGCCTCATAAAAAAGCAGAGGGTGTCTCCCGAGCTCTCCAGCCCCAGCCTGGGCACAAGACCCCTGGATGGTGTTCTAAACTAGTGGAAAGAGCTGAGCCCGTTGACAAGGTACGTCTAAGTCGGAGGGAAACGTGGCCTCTTTCCTCAAGCGGAGGAGTGGCAGAGTGATGAGCAGGTCACACAGCTTCCGTCCGTGGGACATGGCTTCACTGGGGGGCCACCAGCCTTGCTGGAGTTAGCAGAGGCCATGTTCTGGCTGGTGATGTGAAGAAAGTGACGTGTGCCACAGCTCTGAGCACTCCCCATGCACCGTCCTCCATGTTCTCTCCCATCCTGCAGCAGCTCTGAAGAGAGTGGAACAAAAATACAGGAGGCCGAATTCCGCCCAGAGGAGGGCTGCTTTCCCTGCCTCACTGAAGGAGTGGGGCTTCTGGCTACCTCTGGGGTTTCACTCACAGAGGACAAAGCTTCAGGCAGCAGAATCACAACGGGGCAGAGAGAGAAACCAAACCACTTTCCTAACTGAGATGTCTTGCTTTGACCTAAAATAATTACTAAGACCAGTGTACATGGAAGGTAGCAAAAACAAAGCTAAGTTATCCAATCAGCTGAAGGTAAGTCCTTCAATTCACTCAGGCCTGCCTTTGACTCCTAATTATTTTCAAAAGATATTTTAGATTTGATTGATCTAACAAAACAAAAAATTCTTTGAGGGTGTTTATATACGCCTTAAGTATTATTTGAGGGGCAGTCTGTGACATTTTAAAACCAAATAACTGGAGAATCTTTAGAAAATGTTTATGATCTCAAATATTCAACAAATTTCAGTAAAACTTGAGTGGGAGACATTTTTAGTAAAGGTTGCAATCTACAGCTACTAATATTAAAGATGACAAACAACAATAAATTATGCAATCAAAATTTTAATAACAAAGATACTATATTTTAACATGGTGAAATATACTTGGCTAAGTCCAGATTAAAAAAAAAAAAAAGTATCTAGCCCAACAGTACAATCATACAGCTTTGTAGAGAACGTTCCATAGATCAACAGAAAATACATTTGAGCACAAAAATAAAAAAAATATTTAAAGAGAATCTCTAAGCAGCATTTTATTTCTGCAAAAGACATATCTTGTACTGATTAAATATCTACAAGTGCTTTTCCTTTACAAAAATACATATATTCTTAATAGACTAAGTCATTAACAATGACCTGGTAATTCTTTCACTTCAATTTGAATGATTTATAAGCTAAATCTTACAACCACAAAAAGGTTTTTATTTGTATTAAGATGTTACCACTTTTGACAAAAAGCTTAACATATTTTATATTTCAAAGGAAAATTAGCAACATAACTTTACAATATATTCTATGATAGTTTTATTTATTGTGAGGGCTACTCTATTAAAAACTGATGATCTCTGTTGTGTTGCTCAGATGCAGGAAAGCAGCAGAACCCTGGCACTCCCCCAACAAGTCTTGTCACGGACCACAGCTTCTTAAGGACACTTAGGCCCCCACCCCATTCTAAAAAATACAGCAAAAGGAAACCGACTCCAGACAATGTTAGGCTGATCCCATTACACTTATAATGCGTAGAACTTCTGCTCCAGTGGACTCATGTGAAGCGTATGGATAAATAAATCTGTTTACTAGCTCTACATTAACAGAAATACTTAATCTTCATTTATTCTAGATGAGTTTCTTATTCCATGAAGCTCTGTAAGGTGGAAGAAAACTAGGCCCAATATTTAACATTTCTGTTTCACCTGATTGGCGATCTTAAATTACTGAAAGTAAAAAGCATTTCTGAAAAATCAGTCTCAGTTTTGAATTATAAAAAGGGGCATAATGAGTATACAGACACATCTGAATGAGCATTTAAATAATTATTTTTAATTTTATAACTTTCTGAAAAGGAAGTGCTCAAGCATTTTACTTCTATTTGAAAATATAATAAGGACAGAAAGTAAACACACTATTTGTAAAAACTGTATTACACCTGGAAAATAATCACTTTTAAATTATTGGAGAAACATCACTGTAGAAAAAGCAAAACTATGAAAACCCTGTACTATATATTAAAGTACATTTTAATGAACTTTGAATCTGATGTTTTTCATCAAAACACTACTGAACTAGTTTATCAAGTAAATCCAGAAACAGTTGGTTATCTTGTGCCTTGGAAGAGTGTGAGTCTCTAGTGTACTTAATACTTTTCACTTTTTCATAAACTATATCTAGCAGAGTGTTCCTTTTGTCTCCCAAACTTTAGGAATATATATCTTAAAATAATAACAGCATTTCAAGTTTTTGTGTTTCTAATCCAGAACATTAAAGATATGGCAAACTCATTCATTTCTGAAGTTCCTACAACCATCTGTGTTTTCTGGTACAAAGCTTAGCTTGTTGGAAGATTCCCTTTGATTAGCCAGAATATGTGATAGAATGCACATCCATCTTTACCCTTTCCTAGTGAAGAACCTAGTGACCTATCAGAAAGACTTCACAATGTGAGTTTCACCATTGAGGTGGCTGCCACAGCATGAACTCCCCAGAAGTGGTAGAAGTGATACTGAACTTCCTCTTGATGTCCGTGCTTGTTCTGTGACCCATTTTGCCTTATTTTGGCCGCCTGGCTAAATTCTAATAACAATAAATTAATTGCTGAGAAACAAGACAAAGAGTTGCTTTTCAAGGGGAAAAAACCACAGGCCCTTATGAAAATGAAAATTTTGTTTCTGAATACCCAAAAAGTACTTACTTAAATGAGTCCAACCAAATATACTCTTTTCTATACAAGTAAGTGTGTCAGCATTTTACCAAAGTCTGCCTTTAATAAAATTTCATATTATGAAAAACACAGGACCTAAATATATGCTTAATTTTAGTTTATACAACCTCCATGAAATAAAAAGCTTCTCAAACTAAAAAAAAATCTCAATTTTCTTTTCAAAGTATGTCTTTCTCTCACTTTTCATCCAGAGAAAGTTATTTGTTGTGTTTATTACCTCTTTCTCACCTTTGAGGATTCCCTATCAGATGGTGCTGAAAAACAAGGGACATATTTGAAAGGAAGTGTGCTCTGATTATTGCAAGAAGAACCTACAGTTGACTGATCTCACCAAGAAAATTCAGTTTTAAGTCTTCCTTTGGTGATATTTTAGCAATTAATCAAGGTTATTGCCTAACTATATAAAATTAAATTGTAATCTAAAAATTTCCAACTTCCAAACTGTTAAAATTGTCTCTCTACCACGGTTATTAACTAATGGTAAAATGTCTTTGGTGATATCTATATTCTTATGAAAATCTTTCAAAAAAGATGAACTTACAAGAGCCTATTTAGGTACGAAACCATTCATAAGAGACAGGAACAGATAACTCAAACTTTATGCATTAAATCTACAACAGAAATGCACTTCAGCAATGAGGCACTTTCTCTTAAATATTTCAATAAAGCTAAACAGTCACAATATTATATACACACTTATTTTTCTTAAAGAATCAGTTTAAATTTTGATTATATTTGAGTGTATGATGTAGTTGAGCAAAGTCATATCATTTACAAAATGTGGCACATTAGTATGGGATGGATGTTCAGTGAATAAAGAAATAATATGCTGTTCTAAAAGTCATTAAAAGACATTACCCAAGTTACCTGCACCCTAGACTGAATTTTACTTCGTCAATGAAATGAGTCTTTAATTTTTTGGTACTTCTTAAAAGTGTCTTGTTAATCTAGAGAAAGGGTCATATTTTAATTTCTCTATTAACTGATCGATGACTTCAAAGTAATATTTATTAACCACAGCCATTCTTTATATTCAAGGTTCTATGACCCTTTTATATCTATGATTTCTACAGCAGATAAAACAGATAACAAAATCTTTTATGGAAGTAAAGTTCTTTCATTTTATTGTTTAAGACAACAGATGAAAGAAAACCTTTTAGTCTTATTCTCTGAGTTTACAGATTCAGATGATTATTCCTATAGGTTATTTATATAACGAGTTTGTTTTATAAGTACCCTACATTTATAAAACTAATCACAAAAGTTGCCCATACATTTTTTTTTTTTCTATACCAGGTTTCTTGCAAATTCTACAACCTGACTTAGGAAATAATTAACTGGGACTATTGTGTATTACTGGACATGAAAGTATTCCTATACTTAGAAAGTCATAGTTGAATATACCAAAAGAAGTTGACTCAAAAAGTCTGTGGGTCTATTAGTAATGCCATATTACAGGATCATCGAAAACTATGTACCTATCCCCAAATGACAACAGATGCCCTTATGTAAGTTTTTCACATTTTGGCACATATTCCATTGCATTTCAATAAACATGTTAATACATGATCAGTAAATAAAGGAACTTTATGTAAAGCTATTCTCAGTTCCATAATTGCTTCCTATATATTCCCTTGGAAAACAGTAAAATTACATACTATCAGCAACAGGCCAAATTTAAAGAGATTTTGTAGATAAAATTCATTTATAGCCACAGGTTTGGCTGGGGAGCCAAAACATCCAAGTCTCCCTTGTGATTTTTAAAATGCATTCTTAATTCATTTTGAGTTAATTAACTCCCATATGCAAACACTATTGTAGTCACTGGCCTAGAAGTAACAAATTCATAATAATTTTTAAAAGTTCTTAGGGATGTCTGGGAACTGGGTTTCATAGCATAGCAAAATAACTTCTGTAGCTAGAGAGTAAATTCAGTTTTTGGTTGAGTGTCATGGTCTTTTCTAACCATTTATAAAGAGTTAATGAAAATCTGCCTTTTAAATTCTAAAATGAAATATTCCAAGAACAAACACAATCTCACAAAATAAAATTAAGTATTCCCATAACTTTTTTCACAAAAGTCAGAATAACAGAAAAATTTAATATCGATTTTTTGACTTGAAAAAAGATAAAAGGGAAAGATAATTATGAAGTTTCAGCCTTTTACATTATGAAATGTATTAAGATTTAGCTGTATTGTATGTTTCTTAGAGTTGCAATGTCTTACTTCCAAGAAGCATTTGGAAATTCAGAAGGCATTAATACGTGATACATTTTTGCTGGAAAATGTAGCACATTTACCATGTATACAGTATAAAAACTGTGTGTAACACACAGATTGTGCTCATGTCAGATTTCTAAAACAAATATTTTTCCTAACCTTCAAGACTTTTTTCTAAGTTTCACAGGTTAACTTGTTAGTTTCAAAGCAATTAATAAAATAATTTCCAAAGAATTTTTTGAAAACAACTGTAAATTTTAAAAGGATGTTCTTCATATAGTTTAAGTTAACAAGGATTTCTTTGACTTGCAGACTAATCTTAAAAATGGAAGACTTAACAAAACTGCAAAGTACAAGACATTATCACAGCTTTGACCTTAATGAACTCATGTATAAAACAATCCCATTTCCCCTGATTACTACAGGATCTAAAATAAAATACCCTTAAACCATCAATTTTGGTTAGCATATTTATCTTCTATGCTGCATTTATTTTATTTTATACATATGGTTTGGAAATGAGAAAGGTAACAGCTTTAATCTATAATTGTTTTGAGACTTTTGGAATCCATAAAATAGCTAATGCTATGTGCTCTAAAAATCCTAATATTTAAAATCATCATAACCCTCTGCATGCCACAATGACGTAGGCCAACTGAAAAAAAGAAACAATGCATTCACTAAATGACCGCAGCAATGTAATGATACACACATCAAATGGGCTAGACAATGACGTTTCATGAAGCAGCACCTGCTTGTCATAAGGCATTTTGAAAGAAGGTTAACCTTACTTACACGCTAATTTTATTAGAAGTAAATTTGACCAGCTGCCAACATTTTGAATGGTTGTGAATCTAACTTCAGTTCTCCACGAAGTCACATACATTTTCAATCTGGAGGGCTAACATGCCTTCCTTGTGCAATTGGTAGACTACACAGACAGATGCTTACTTAGAATGCCTACAATTATGATGTGCTCTAATGTTAAATAATAATTGGAATTCTTTGCAAAAGGACTTGCACACTCAAGAATGAACTATTTTTTTTCACACAAAAAAGCTTACCAAGAACAGGACAGTGGCTCAAAAACCACTTTTCTAAATATATTTCCATACAAAATAATTTCAAGATATAATAATTAGTTTCTTGTACAGTACTCTATTTAAACAAGAATTAATAAAATAGTAAGTATGTGAAAACTGCAACACCACAAAGATTGAGCCATTTTACTAGTGTAATTAAACATTAGAACAATCTTGGAACAGGCAAGCAAAATCTTCAGAAGGCTGAATCATGGCTGCACACTTAACTGATTTGAACCATGACTTGCACACTGTGAGACAGCACAAATACCTTATGCAGACGGTTCAGTAGCAGAATGGCACTTGGTTTGCTCTTAATAGAAACAACATGAATGCAACTGACAAGTAAGAGATAGACAATGACCTTATTTGCATGCTGAAAATCTGGTTGTGTCCCTCGAGTCCACACACCGTGAACTGTGCAATCTGTCGATGAGTAAACAAATAGTGCAGGATTCATCTCAGTGAGATCTGGGCCCCTTGGTCTAACCGAAATCGATTCTTGGTCGATACTGCAATACCATAGGGTATGACTATAAAATAAAGACAGATAAGAAGTAAGACTGGTGTTTACACAAAACATTACAGATAGCTTAGCTTATGTACAAAAGATTTGGGGTTATAACTTACAATAATTCCTGATACTAGTGGCTACAAAAGTTAAAATTTGAGTTACCATTAAAACTCTTTCTTTTGATTGCCATTGTTTTCCAAGAATAAGTCAAGTTTTCATTAATGTGCAGCAAAGGCTAAGTTCAAAGCCCTACAGATGCCATACAAGTTGCATATGTGACTAGAATGGGTGTAGTGCCTGTGGAGGACTGAAAGTTACACATCCTGTCTCAACCTGTGAGGGGAACACAAGTCAGCAGCCTGGAGTCCACCAGAGCCCACTAAGTCACAGATAAGCAGAGACACCGTGCTGGGAATCTGTGAGTCTGGAACAGTGTTCACAGATCACATTTCTTACAAGTTTGACTTTTTTTTTTCTTTTTAGTATTTAAAATTCATTTTGTTACAGGAAACATGTAGGTCACTGCCTCTGTTCAAGTCAGTTGATAACAGTATTAAGTATTTGGCTTTGACAAATTACATAATATAACTGGATGGTTCATATTGTTCTTCATGTCACTCTATGTAGAAAAGGTGTCACATCCGGCTACCACATAGCACTAGAGAGGAAACAGCTTCTTCCACATAAGGCATTGCCATACCACCTCTGCATCTGTTTTTACCCTCTACTTGACCATATCATAAAGAACCAAAACAGCACAAAGGCAGAAAAGGTCTGGCGAATCAATGGTTTTCTTTTTCTTAAAGCTGCAGATTCCCTTCTTTAAAATAAAATTTATGGAACCAAGAAAGGGTGAGATGACCACTGACTAATGTTGCTCCATCTTATTGCAGGTTAATGGGGAAAAAAAAAAAAAAGCAGTACAGACAACTCTGTATTCTTTCATACAGAAGAAAGGACTAGACTGAGGTTTTACGAGCCTGGAATGAGCATTTCCACGCCTATCATGGCTATGCTACACATGGACGGAGATGACTCAGTGCTGGAGTCACTTCCAGCATTCAGCTCAGGATGGGGCTGGAGGGCAGGAACACAAATGCCCTGGGTCATGCCGTCCCAGCTGGGGAGGTGTTGCAGCTGCCACTACCACTTTCCAAAGGGCTGAAGTAAAAGTCTCAGTCTCTTAGGGTTTTCACGGTCTAAAACGTCTAAAACTTTTGGTTTTATTTTGTTTGTTTTTATTGTAAACTTTATTCTATTCGCTTCAAATCAGATGATCTGGGAGTAGGACACAAAAATCTGCACTTGACTAAATTCTGGGTGATTCTGAAGTGCAGCCAGATTTGAGAACCCTAACATGGACATCCTGTCCTAACCTGACTAGTTTCCATTCTCCCTCACCCACTCTGCAGCTTGCCCTTCACTATCATAATTGTCCTAGCTTTGCTGTAGACTCCTGATTATGTTGAATCTGTATACTTTCTGAAAATAATTAAGCCACTTGTCTTAGAATACATTCATCATATACAGGAGTATCCATCATCAGTTCTACTAGGGATGACGGCACAGAAGGAAGTAAAACAGCACGGTTGACAATAGTTGGAATTTTCTCAGTTTTTGGCTGAAAATGGTTTTGTTTTCCTCTCAAGTAGCCATTTGTATGTGTTCTATAAGAACATATAACATATAATAATTTTACTGAAATGTGTCACAACATTGAAAATTGTTAAGATCTACTTTAAGTTCTTCTGTGTCTGTTTGCTTTCTGAAGTAAACAGTACTACACTTACTGTCATGACACACGGCATAACATGACCTCCTAGTGTTATGGTACTGCAAAAAATGGACCTACACTTCACAGAGCTTCTAGCCCTCAGGTTTCATTATGTAATAAAAAGAAAAGATGCTCCCAAAGAATATATTTCAAATGTGGTAATTTTAGAAAATGATAAAGCTGCCTTTAATTGATGTATTTTTTCCTCAAAGAATAAATTATTTTTATCATAAAAGTAACCTATTTTTACTGTGTGGATTTGGAAAATACAGGAAAGCACCCAAAAAAGGGGGGCAATTTAAATCCTACCATCCACAGATAACTACTACAATAATTTTAGTGCATATTCTTCTAGTCACATTTATCTACATGCTTTTTTCAAAACTGAAATTATGCCAAACGTATTGTTGATACTATTTAAAATTTTGTCCATTTAGAACTCCTACAAACATACTACTATAACTTTTAATACAGTCCTACATAATTTTAATAGCCCAATGTTATACTGGTATAAAAATGAACAAGTTACTAATAAGTCTCTTTTTGCTGTACATTTGGTTTATTCCTTTTTTCTTCTATTATAAGTTAATCTTGACCCAGTTATCTATTTCTTTCCTCCCAGGATAGGTTCCTAGAAGTGGAACTGCTGATTCAAACAGCGTACAAACTTTTAAAGACTCTAACAAATGGATCCTTTTGATAAATACTGTTACACTGGTCTTCAAGAAAGTTCTTCTATTTCTTACAATTACAAAATAAATTTGAGGGCCCAGATCTCCATAGCCTTGCCAATAATGAGTAATACCCTCATTTCCCGTCTTTTTTTTTATTTTTGAGTTGGGGCCTCATCCTGTTGCCCAAGCTGGAGTACAGTGGCACGCTCTTGGCCACTGCAGCCTTGACTTCCCATGAGCCACCACACCTGGCCTTTCCTCCCTTATAATCTGGAATTGAATAACCATAAATTAGTGTTTTTTTTCCTTTTTCCATTTCTTGACTTCTAAAAAAGTTAATCATTTTTATGCGCTTGTTAGCCAACTGTGCTTTCTTCTTTTACATCTTGCCTGATCATGCCCATCGCTCATTTTCTCTGGAGAGTTAGGTGATTTCTTACAGATTTGTAGAAATTCTTTATGTATTAAGGACATGAAACCCTTCTCTATCGTATATTGCAAATATTTCCTTAGTTATGACAATTTTACCATGTCAATTTGATTTGTTGTGAAAGCAGAATGTGAAAGGTCACTCACTCTGAGGTGAGTTATTCAACTGTAGTTTCGTCATGATGTTCCATGGCATCATTTTAAATATCTGCCACCTTGAGCCATCAGAAACTTGTACCTGATGGCCACTGCAGCCTTGACTTCCTGGGCTCAGGTGATCCTTCAGCCTCAGGCTCTCCAGGAGCAGCTGGAACTACACAGGCACGTGTCACCATGTCTGGGTAATTTTTTTATTTTTGGTAGAGATATCACTATGCTGCCCAGGCTGGTTTTGATCTCCTGGGCTCAAGCAATCTTCCCACTTCAGTCTTTCAAAATGATATTATAAGGTATGGACTGAATCCCACAATGGTCTCAGGACAATTAGCTGAAAAGGAGTCCTGCCAGATCAGCACCCCACTTCCAGTATTTCCATTTCTGAGTGCAGTGTCACCAACTGTCGTCTTCTGTGCTGTTTCTGCTCTGGCCCCACTGGCCTCCCTGTGATTCTCAAACAACCAGACATAATCATGTCTCAGGGCCCTTGCAGTGTGTTTCCTCAGCCTTCAGTGCTCCAGCACAGACATTCACAGGGCAACTTCTTTCACTTCCTTTTGATCAACACTGAGGCCTTCCCTTAGCTATCTGATCAAAACTATTCTATTTATCGACTTTAATTTTTCTTCTAACACTATACATTTTAACTTGCTTACTTTTTGTCTGCTACCATCACTAGAGTATAAGTTCCATAAGAGAAAAGGTTTGTGTTGCATTTTGCTTTTGTGTCTCTAATGACCTAGAAGAGTGCCAAGCATACTGCATGCTCAACAGGTAATTGTTAAATGAATCTTTTTTTGTCATTACCTTGAAATACTCTCTTTATAGGCTCATATATACTACAGTCTACTCTTGAGTTATTCTTACTTCCATGTCTATGTTTAAGACAGTAGCCTATCTTAATTACTTCAGCTTTAAAATACATTTTAGTTTGTGGCAGTGCACATTCCCCCGGTTGCTCTTTTTAAAAACATGACTGACCAAAAGCATCTGTTTATATTTCCTGATGAACTCTAGAATGACTGACTTTGCCAAGTTAAACAAGAATCTGGTAAAAATGTATTTGGAATTACATTTAACTGCACAACTTAATGGTGGGGAAAACTGACTTCTCTATAACAGTTAACATACTATTTACATTTCTTATGCATGAAATAGAATTTTGGATATATATGAGAAGGTCTTTGTTCTTAGAAAATATATGCTGAAGTATTTAGTGGTCAACTGTCATGATATTTACAATTTATTTTCAAATGGTTCCACAACAATTTTATATACATATAAAAGTACTAATATTTATGATTATATAAATTATAATATTATATATATGATTAATAAGGTAAGGAGATGAGAAAAAGAGAGGAGAAGAGGAGGCAGAAAATATGTGGCAAAACGTAAATTGGTGAATCTAGGTGAAGGTCATTCCTTTGTATAATTATTTCAACTTTTTTATTGTTTAAAATTTTTAAATAAGCTGGTAGAAGAAGTCAGGACTTAACACTGAATTTTGTCAAATGCCTTTTCGGCATCTACTGAATTAGTGTATATGTGTAATTTATTTCTGAATTAGTGTGTATGTGTAATTTATAATTATAACTGTTTTTTAATCCCCTCACATCCAGCATTAAGCCATTATTGCATTTCTGATAAAAATACAATTAGGCTTGAGTTTATTATTCTTTTAATATATTATTTATCATCTTTGTATTTATATTCAAAATAAGATTTGGCACTAGTTTTCTAATTGTGGGTTCTCTGTCAGTTTCTGCTATCAAGGTTACACCACCATTTTTTTTTTTTTTTGAGTCAGAGTCTTACTCTGTCTCCCAGGGTGGAGTGCAGTGACATGCTCATGGCCACTGCAGCCTCGACCAGTGCTGGGCTTAGGCGAGCCTTCCACCTCAGCCTTCCTAAGTAGCTGGAACTACAGGCATGCACCATCATGTCTGGCTAATTTTTTGATTTATTGTAGAGTGAGGTCTTGCCAGGTTGCCCAGGCTGGTCTTGAACCTCTGGGTCAGGCAATCCTCTTGCCTCCGCCTCCCAAAGCGCTGGGATTAACCATGCCTGGCAGGTTACACTACCTTTATGAAAAGAATTTGAAGGAATCCCACCTTTTTCAATGATTTAAAACACTAGATGTAGCATGGGGACGATATATTCCTTGACACTGTGAGAGAATGTGACCATGAATCCATTTAGGTATCCTCTGAAGAAGTTAAGGGTGCATCCTATTAACTACAAGCTCAATTTTCTTATAGGACGATAATCCAATTAAGCGTTAAAGGAAAAAAAGGAAATTTGCATGGATTTTAAAAATTTGGTCTTATTCCAGTTGTTCCCTAATATTTTGGATCATGGTTTAAGGACATGCTCATTTCTAGGGAAATACATAGACATCAACATTAAGAGTATAAACAGAAAACGATGTGTGTGTATGGGTTACAGCTACAGGCAGGGATATTGCTACAATTCAGCATCCCAAAATCGGCTGTGGGCTAAAGCAGTTGAAACAGCAACACACTTCAGATATATACAAATCTTACCAGCTCAGTTACATTTTGTATTCACCCCTCACCCATATCTGTGTAATATAAAGAGAATGATGTCTCCATCAATAATTTTCTCTTGGCCTTTGTAGATGCTAAATTTACTTACTCCTTTGCTGAAAAACTAGGACTTAAACAGTGTGTATTGAAAAGCACACATTTTAATGAAGGAATAGGGATTCCCATATCATAGCACGGAAAAAAAATTGAGAGAAATTCTAGATAAACTGCTAATTAAACATTTTCAATTAATGATTTGAAGAGATTATTTTGCTACTTAATGTTTGTCCCAACCTCAGAACTGTAACACTGAAGGTAAGTTTGCTGGTTCGGTTTGTTATATAATGACAATTCTCCTTTCTTGGCTGCAAGGAAATAAGGATGAAGACTATCTTATTACTGAGATAAAGGAACAATGCGTATTCTAAAGAAATGTTATGATTAATCCACAGGACTAAGGCTGATCATCAGTCATCTCTGTACCTGACAATAATCTGTACTGTATGGTTCCACAAAGTTTTCCAAGTTTTTGAAATGTATGAATATGAGATAAACTTTTCTCAGACACATGTTCACCTTTTCTCAGTGCATCATTGAATTAGCTCACTATCATTCTGTTATTAAAAGAGGTAACCCAAGTAAAGTATTTAGGGCAGGACTTAGTAAGCAAGCTCTCAATTTGAAGCAGCTGTTATTTAGATTCACATAATTTGGCATTTCATATTTCACTTGTGGACAAATGGTTCATTTAAAAAATAACACATTAAAAAAAGGTAACATCCCAATCCTATATGGAGCAGAGATTTCTCAACGACTAAAACTAGTAATTACTAAAAATTCCTGACTTACAACATTTATAATTTCATTTTTAGTTGAGTGAAATTGAATATAAAATTCAGGAGAACTAAAATAGTGGAAAACCTTAGCTATATAAGTTGAAAAAGTAAGTTTTTGTAGCTCAAATAATGATGAGTCTTACAGAGCTGAATGTTTTAGGAACTGCATTTGGGATGAACGTGATGGTGCCGTGGCGTCACAATGGTCATGTGTGCAGTCGTGAGTGCCTCTTACCTGATACAAAGGGCCATCCTGAGAGCAGGCTTGCGAAGCTGAGCAGTTCAGACACCGAAACTGCGGAGGAGACGAACTCATCAGATAAGAGGCATCCACAACTGGACACATACTTAAAATGATTATTTAAAATATTTTAATGTCAAACATAAAGTCAATATGATTAATGTTAAATAAACACTCTCTAAGGATATGGTAGATGTTTGTTGTTGTTGTTGTTGTTGTTGTTGTTGTTGTTTTGAGTTGGAGTCTCACTCTGTCACCCAGACTGGAGTGCAGTGGTCGCTCCCAGCCACCGCAGCCTTGACCTGATGGGTTCTGGCGATCCTTCCGCCTCAGCCTTCCAAGTAGCTGGAACTACAGGCGCGCTACCACACCTGGCTAATTTTTTATTTATTGTAGAGATGAGGTCTTGCCAAGTTGCCCAGGCAGGTCTTGAACCTGCGGGCTTGGGCAATCCACTAGCCTTGGCCTCCCAAAGTGCTGGGATTACAGGCTGAGCCACCAAGCCCGGCCTAGTTGTTGTTTTAAAAAAAGCTTTAATAACTTAGTGATTGATAAGATTTAACCTGAAATAATTTTAGCAACTAGATATGAGTTTTATTTAATATTCTAAACACCAAAATGATGGCCTATCCTTTTCAAATACTAATTCCTGGAAAACTCTCATGTCTTGAGTACATGAGGGGCATCCTCCTTCTTCCATCCCTTCCTGTGATCAGTCTCTCCTAGGCCTTTTCTTCAACTTCTTGAAAGCAATCCTGTTCAAGGAGATCAGAGCTCTGAAAGGGGCATGGAACTTCGTTTAACCTGTAAGGGATCTGTTTTCTGTTTTATATTGGGTTCTTTTATATTCTATATTGCTCAGATTGGATTTTAATAGCATTAGATTGTGAGCTCCTGGAATCTGTATTTTATTCATATCTACAGTCTTAATAACTGAGACCCAGACCTGGCACAGAGCAGCTGCTCAATAAATGTACTGTGAGTAAATCAATGAGTGAGCGTATCTTAAAAACTAATGAGTAGATTCATCTGTGAGCCCACCATTACTTTAAAACAGTTTAATCATTCATATTAAAAAATTCCCAAATCTTAATTTTAATATTATGCTAAATATTTCTTAAACATAAACATAATTTTAGTTGCAATGGGACTATAAAACATAAAATATGTGCTTTAAAATTATGCATATATAAATTCAACAATGCATACTCTTCAAAATGGAAAAATAAATACATAAAAATGTGCAATGTAAATTAAGCAGGAGAGTTCTAACATCCTAGAGTAGGTTTTTAAAAGATGCATTTTGAAAGATTATTTAAGTAAGCAATGGTTAAAACAAATATATTTGCAGCCTTTTAAATAAACCTGTAGGAATGTTCTATTCCCCCAAAAGATTTGAGCCCTTTTTTCCTCTAGCAGTCAATTCCTGACTCTAGACAGCGGTCATCAACATGCTGCAAGGCACACCCTGCATTGCTGTCCTTTGGTGAACTTCTCCGTTCTCTCTGAAGAGTCTCCAGGCTCTGGTCTATCAGATTTTGCCTAATGATGCAAGTTCCAGATAGCATTCAATAAGAGGAAAGAGTTAAGGTGGAAAGAGGCAATTTCACTAAGTGGTTCTTTCTTTTTTTATTAATCACTATGGAATCAGTCAAGATGGGGACTTTGCCTTTCCTGAAATTTGCCTGATAATACAAACAAAGTAAAAGAAGACAAACATAGTCCAGTGACTTTAGGTGCTGGGCTGGCAGAGGTTGCTGGAAGAGATAAACCTAATCAGGATGATCTGGAAAACAGGGGTTGTACTGAGAACCACCCAAGAAAAGGTGAGCAGGAAGAACGTGAGCCCATGATGAAAGCTGAGGTCGAACAGAGACACGGACAGTAAATTCCCAGAGAAGGAACTAAGTAAAGAAATAATTATAATGCAAGTTAAAACACATAAGCTATTAGCAAAATAACATTTATTATGTCAGGCACTCTGCTAAACACTTCAGTATATTTCATCAATTCCTAGTGGTTACTGAAATTTTAAGGATCAAAAACCCTGAGGCAAAATTAGGAAGCAGGACACACTGAAAGAAAATAGCTGAACATCCAAAACAAGAGATTCATATTCAGAATACACAGAGTTCCTAGGGGTCAGTAAGAAAAAGATAAACATTATGACCAAATAAAACAAGGCAATGAATATGAAAAGAAAGTTCACAGAAGAAATGTAAAACTGATAGTATGCAGCGTAGGTGAGGATGTCAGAAAACGGGCACTCTCACATGTTAATGGTATAAACACAAATTGCTAAAACCCTTCTAGAGGACAATTGGTCAATAGCTACCAAATTTTAAAACATGCATACTGTGTTGCAAATCCACTTATGGGAACACAGTCCATGGACATGCTTGCACATGTGCAAAAAGATGTATAATGTATGTACTGAAATAAAGCATTGCTTGTAATATCAAAAAACTTGAAAAAAACCAAAATGTCCACCAAAGGAGTATGTTAATCAAGTGATACTACAGCCGCACAAATGCAGTAATGTCAATGTGTTAAAAAAAGATTTCAAGGCTCACTGACTCTCCACAAAACATCATCAAATGAAAAAAAGAAGCTACAGAACAATACACATGATTCCATTTATGTTTTTAAAAAATGTGATGACCACGGATATAAATATTATAACAAGGATGAGAGTGCCAGGCTGACAATCAGATTGATGACCGAGTCCCTTCAAAACTGAGATCTGGCTCTGTCACTTCATACCCTCAATGCACAGTCATGGACTCCATCACGCAGAGGATAGCCCCAGGATCAGACACATTGGATCTGCTGGGAGTTTGCTAGACATACAATAGCCTGGGCCTCACCGCAGACCTACTAAGTCAGAATATGTATTTTACCAAGATCACTAGATGATATTCAATTAAAATTTGAGAAGTGCTTTTTTTTTAGGTGTATTTTCTCCCACTAATAAGGAAAAGATCAACGCAAAGCTTGAGTACAGAATCTTGCAGTGGCAATTACTATGAACTGAAAAATTTCTAAGGGCTAGCTGAGTCTGACCAGATGTTTCTTTTGTTTCTTAGAGATAAAAATCTTTGGAAGATGCATCACAATGGAGATAAGGGGCTAGGAAGGGCAAGGGCCACAGAAAACCAGCTGAGCCTGAAGTGGAACTGCACCAGGATGAAGGAAAGCACTGACAAGGGGCCTGTATGGTGCAGGGAATACCTCACTATTCTTGAAAAATGGAGGCAAAATCGACTTTCCTGGGATTTCTTCCTAGGAGGGTAGAAATAGGGGGAGGTAAAGGGGTGGTTAGAAGATAAAGTAGCCTTGTCTTAGGTAAAAGATTCAGAGGGACAGAGGGTGGCATCCAATATGATGACCAAGAAAACTACAGATTTACCATCGACAGGAATAAGAGCATAGAACACATGAGGAGATATCCCACGGTAACAGGCAGAATAAAAAGCGAAGATGCCAATTTCAGCCAAATCTTTATAAAATACAACTCCATTATATCGCAATTCCATTCTACAGCTCATCTAGAAGAATAAATGGGTAAAACGAGCCAACACAATTTTATAAAGAATGATAATAGGGATTTTGCTCCCAACAGGTACATTATAATGTGTATCATAAAGCAACCCAAAAGACCCAGCTATTTGCTTTATAAGACATGTCTGGACTTCATTCAAATTTATCTCAAAGAAAATGGACAATTGAAGGGCTTTAGACATGGGTGTTATGTGGCCAGATTTTTATAAAAGCTATATAATGCGTAAGGCTGGCAGCAGAATAAGACCTGCTCAAAAGAACAAAACAGAACGCCCAGGAACATATCCATACATATGTATATTTCTATATACCTATGTATACACATGCATATGTGTATATATGCATGTGATATATACATAAGTATACATATGCATAGATAATGGCTACATCTCAAAAAAGGAGGTAAAGTAAGGATTAGTCAATAAACTATATTTCTAGTTAAAAAACAGAATAAATTAAAGTCTTAACCTTGTGTGAGTGTATGTGTGCAAACTAAATCAATCTCAGGTTCATTAAAATGTTTAATATTAAAAAAAGTAGAGCAAGTTAAAGAAACACATGGTGGTCATTAGTTTAGGAAACAAGCTGACCCCAGCCCAAGGCAGAAGTAGTTAGCCAGTAGATAGAGTAATAGCTTTTCAGACACCCTGGCATCTTGCTGGCAATGGATGGTAGAGATGTCTCTTCCCATCTTCCCATAGTCATAACAAACATGCCAGTAGGGGTTTGACAAGAAATAACAGTTTTACTGTTACTGCTGCATTTGTCCACGTCACTCCAACTGTCAGAATTCCTCTATTAATATTATAACTTGTGATTAATTAGAACTTGAGCAAAAATTAAAATGTTTAACGGAAAATAAATGAGAAACTGAGGTTCAAATAAAAAATTATCTTTGAGATATATTTTGCATAACTATTGCCTTATCAAAGACAGAATTCTCATTCAATATACTTGTCAAACCAGTGTTTATTGAGTGTATGTGCTGGGCACTGCTCCTATGTATTGTAGACTCAGCAGTAAACAAACAAAAATCTCTGTCCTCAGATTGCATTTTACATGGGGGACTTACAATAAAATATAAATCAGATGCGTGTCAGGTGGCATAAAATACTATGGAAAATAATAAGGCATGAAAAGAGATGAAGAATGCCATTGGGAGAGGGGGTGTGGTTTTAAGGGAGGTCAGTGGCCTCACCAAGAAAATGAAATAGAAAGAAAATTCTCCAAGTGAGCAGGTAAAGGGAGCTAGTTAGGTGGATACAGGGAGGACGCAGAACGTGAGTGAGAAAACAGAGGCCAGTCAGTGCAGCTGGAGTGCTGCAAGCCCCAGAGAGAGAGTGAACGGTGGGGTTACAGAGGTACCTTGGTGGGGGCCATCCTGTAGGTCTCTGGAAGAAGGACTCTGGATTTCATCTAAATGGTATTGCTACTGCAGGAGCAGAGGAGTGGCATGTTTCAATCTGTTTTAAACAGCCAGCTCACTCTGGTTACTGTGTGGGGTGAGGAGGACAGGTGGGAAAGGGTGGCAGTGTGGAGCCCAGCTAGGAGACATTTACATTCCTCTGCAGAATGGTGATGGTGATGGCTTGGACCAGAGTGGTGGAGGTATGCGGCAGCTAGATTCTGAGTACGGTATTTTGATGGTAGAGGCTACAGAATGTGCCAAGGATACATGAAAGAAAACGAAAGTAATCAGGGCTGACTTCAGGGATTGTGGTCTTAGCAGGTGGAAAAATGCAGCTACCAATCTTAGAACTATTGAGATTGTGATGACTGAGGGAGAAACAGGTTTGGAAGAGAGCATCCAAAAAATAGGTTTGTTACAAAAATGGAAATGGGCTAATGTATGACTTTACTGCTGCACTGAATGTAAAAGATAAGTAATTGTTCTGTTTATTGGTTTAGTTTTAACCTAAATGATAAATCTTAAGGTGTTGAACCACATTTTTGAACTTTTATTAAAATAGTCCCTAAACAATGAATTTAAACCACTCAGAAATGTGTAATCAGAGATGTAGTTACAGTAAAGACTAATTCAACTCACAGGATGTTAATAAAAATGTCTATGAATTAGCTTCTTCACACTGAGACATTAGAATAACCAGCAGTGTGGGCAGCTCTGGGAAGGGCTCTTGGGAAGGACCAGTGAGCACTAGCAGAGGTCTTGCAGTGCTTAACACCTCTGCTCTTAAGGCAAACCTATTCATCACAACGATGAGTTCAAACACAAAAACACACTGAAATGCCAGCTGAACTATCAAAGAAAGCAAAGATTACATTCAATCCAATATTAGTATTATGTGTAGCATCATCATAGTCACTCCTCAACAGTGTTGTGTAAAAGAATTCACTACCTCTGCAATCTCTACCCGGCACCTGGAACATTTTGGTTGTAAGGGTTAAATGGAGATGATGCAGGTACAACCGTTTAAAAAACTATGTCACAGAAAGGCATGTAGTAATTCATCAAATATAAAGACAATTACATTTAAAGAAAAATGAACCCCCAAAATGTTTGATGAGTTCTTTAAGGGCACACAACTAGCTAGTGACTGGTATTGGAATATAATTTTTTTCTTCCTGCTCTTGAGTTCTTTCTATTAATGGCTAGAGCATTCAGCCTCACAAGGCAGGCTTCCCCCATGGCTTTCCTAGTTCTCAAATAGGAAAAAAAATTCTCATGTAAGAAGTTAGGTGCTTTGTATGTTATCATATCAAGACATTTCTTCTGAAAAAGAGACAAATATCCTACCCATTGAACAGCACAAAAAAAATGGTATTTTGAGGCCTGTTTTATATGAGGTCCACAGATGTTTATATTCGGTGTAAGCATATTTTTAAACTATTGTAACATGACAACCCTCAGTATACCTGGATTCTATATTACTTATCCTGGTGTGAAGTTAAATTTTGTTTGTGCTATATTGTATAATTAATTTACATTTTCATGAGAAAATGTAATAAAATCTAGCTTGCAGAATAGAGAAATTAATACACAGTTTAAATGTATGACGTATTGTTCATAACCACCACAGAATCTTAATGTCTGAAAGATAATCTGTGAAGTTATCTAGTCCAACCTTCTAGTCAATCATAGTTAACGTTTATTCATGCACTAAGATTATGAAGACACTTTCTGGTAGTATTACCACCATATTCCTCACTCTCATGTATCAGCCTTACAATCACTATTGCCTCAAATTTCCCTAATATCTCATATTACTTACAAATTAGGTGTGCTTGAACCTAGAATTGACCCTCATCAAAGATATAGTTCAAAATACAAAATTCTCCTTTTGGGCTTATTGGTTTTCTCCTCCTTTGAATCATTTCTCCCATAGTGCCTAGGGCCCAAGACACAATAATCTAATTCTGGCATCAGAAACTACTGCAGACTCACTTACCCTAGGATCTGATTTTATACTTTCAATGTTAAGGAGGTATCTGGAAGATGATTATCTAGATTCTGCCCTATCTGTCCCTTCTACCACAACCCAAAATTAATATTTTTATTTTTTTTTGAGTTGGAGTCTCACTCTGTCGCCCAGACTGGAGTGTAGTGGCCGCTCCCAGCCACCGCAGCCTCGACCTGCTGGGCTCCGGCGATCCTTCCGCCTCAGCCTTCCGAGTAGCCGGAATTACAGGCATGTGCTACCATGCCCGGCTGATTTTTTTATTTATTGTAGAGATGAAGTCTCACTGCCTAGGCGGGTCTCGAACCCGCGGGCTCAGGCAATCCACTTACCTCAGCCTCCCAAAGGCACGGGATTACAGGCTGAGCCACCGAGCCCGGCTAAAATTAATACTCTTATCAACCATGAATCACACTTAGCTTCTCCCAACCCCAGTTCATACATTTAAATGCCCCAATAATTAGGTTTTTAAAAATATGCTATCGTCTCTGTCTTGAGTTTAGTAGAATCCTGAACAGATTTAGATGGAGTTTTAATCTCACCTTAAGTAAACAAAACCACATTTAACACAGACCTTGTTCTTATCCTTGGGACCAATTTTCACAGAGTGCTGGGAGAAACAGTAAGAAGAGAAACCAGTTTCTTCTCCTTCCCAAGCTACTTAGTTAAATTTAAGTAACATAATGGTATATAACTAAATATACACATAGGTAAAGATAAAAGCAATTTACGTTTTCGCCTCTTAGTCGCCATCTTGTCATGTAGATGAATTCCATAGTATGATCCTTCCCCATAATTTCACCATTGCACAGCACATCCAACTTTAAAAAGAATAGTTATGGATCTATTAATATAAATAATGTTGAATTTCTAAATATTTTATGCACTTCATATACATTTCAAAAAGATTCAAACAGAACAAAATAAAAGTATCCATTATATAACTAGAACACTCAACATTCTTATTGAAAGCATTTGTCCTCATAAAGTACAAATAAGTAACCATGCAGCACTCTAAAACCTGTCTCACATACCAGTACACCTCAAGTTCATACAAATAATTTATAAAAGCTATGTAAACTTTCTTAGTCCATATCTCTGACATGTCTCTTTGGGGTTTTCTGACATATTTCTGGAATCCATCCCTTACTGAATGAGAAGAAACTGTGGTGACCTCACAGTTCCTCTCAGTTCCTTTGGCTTCTGAATTCATCTCTCCGAATTCCTTTACCTTCCCAAGATTTGAAGGGGTTGATTTCTTCTCATTAGTTTGGATTTAAAGAGGGAAATGAATAAATATGGATACAGTGATTTTGGAGGGCTTTTGAGGCGTATCAGAATTTTCAGTAATTACCAATAGTTACTTTGATGCAAAAGTCAGAACTATGCCACAGGTCTGCCTCTCCTAGGGGCTGGCCGGCTTCTCTGGCAAGCTACACAATACTGATGGGATCTTCTTCTCACATTGCACAAAACTTCAAAAAAGGGTTGTACTTATCAATGCTCACTTTTCCCTAGATGCAGGAAACAACCCCCAATCCTTAAGGCAGCCACGGGAAATGTGGTTATAATTCATTAATTCAACAAAGCATAATTAAGCAAATGTTTACCATAGGTCCCTATAAATAAAATAAAATTTCAGTTCCCTAGTTATTAAAAACACAGTGGCAAGATTTAATTTGAAATGTAGAGGAGGGAAGACAAATGAATTTAAATAACTCTGTGTCTGGCTAGATAGCAACTGCGGTTTTAAACTCTAAGTCTAAAATGAGTATAGTCCCAGTGGTATTAGACACACAAAACTAAATTATTGATTTTTGGTGATTTATGGTGACTTGTATGGACCTCAAAATGTTTTCCAGACATTATTTTATTAACTCTTAAAAGAACAAAGTAGATAATTTCATTTTCTTTATTGCTTGTCAAATAAATTTATAGGCAAAGTGAAGGGACATGATTAGGACACAACTGCTAATCAGGTCTACAGCTTCTCTCAGGGCCATTTAACAATGAAGGTATCTGCTCCAGTTCACAAGGCTGTTACAGAAGTTTCAGCTGTCAGATATTTCATTAAATCATCCCCCTACATGCTGGGTAACAAAGTAAGGGGGAATGATAAATACTCATAAAAATCATCACAGAAAAAGTCCTTTGCATTAGGTATAGATAGGAGGTGTCAGTGAACTGAGCCTCTCCTTCCTTTCCATCTTTGTCTGTAGAGAAATACAACACATGCCAGAAGTAAGACTGAATGGTATAATAGTTCTTTTAGCACTAACACCTTCCTAAAAATTAGAAAATGGAAAACTCAATCATATCAGACTTAAAAGTAAGACATTAAAAATTGCACATGGTATTTTGCAAGAAGGAAATACGGTGTAAAACCAAATCATAAAAACAATTTTATTGTCTATTTTCCACTGTAATTATATCTATAAACTGTTATCATTTACTTTTGCTAAGTATATTGGGCTTTGATATTTAACTTCCACAATATTTTCCTAATACAGGAGTTAATGTCTCTAGATTTTAAAAAAATATTTGTAGAACCAAACAAACCATAATTACAATTTTTAACCATGGACTAGTTATCTGAGAGAAATATTCAAGTAAGTCCAGGATTGGATACTTTCTCAAAACACAGGCAATACCTGTTCATGCCTGTGTTCAAATCCGACCATATTTTATTTATCCTATGATGATTCCACGGTATACATATTACTGCAGATAAGCCAGAAAAACTATGCTGCCTTTGATGTCTTTGTTCATATAGAAACTCATCCTGGTCTTTAATTTTCTAGATATTACTATCAGAACCCAAAGGGGAAAAAGAGAAAATTAATAAAAGTTGTAAGATTGCCATTTTTATGGCATGTTTCCTTACTATGTTATAGTCATACCATTAAGATAAAAAATATTCTCTAAACATTGAACATACAAAAGCTATGCTGTGATCCACATCAGGACAATTTATTTCTCCTGTAAACAAACTGGTACAATATGTTTGTTTTGCCTAGTGCTAAATAAAATCACTTTTGCATATCATGGAACTACACAAACATTATTTATAAAACTTATTTTGATACAAAGACAAAATTTTACATTCTGAAGAAGTCTATAAACAATTGGCAATAGTGGATCTCAAAGATCTCAGACAAAAAAATGACATGTCCTAAAGCATGTTGACATTTAAAAAATGGATCCATTTAACTTATTTATTTTAAGAGTACTTAATATTAAGTTCTTTACATATCTCATTCTAATTATAAAACACTAAATATATTACATTAGTATCATATTTTACCCAGAATATGTTAAATTAGAAAATACATATTACAGAGCAGAATAACACATTCTAAATCATACAAATTAAATTTTAACATAACATAATTTTAAAAATAACCAAAGTTTACACAAAAATTAATTTGAATATATTTTCAGTTTTTTAAAAAGAATTTTACTTCAGATCACAATTAACAAAATAATCAAGGTTAGATATTTTATAACTTACCTCATAAGAACTTGGAAGTTTTAGTTTTAAACTTAAAAATTTTTTAATAGTTCCAACAGTTACACGTGTAGAACATCGAATGAATTTCTTCATTAAACCCTAGAGGAAATAAAAATTACTAATTAAAATATTCTACCTTGCTTTTAATGAAACCATAGGTACCACTTCCACTATCATTTTGAGTATTTTAAAAATATATTGTGAAAACATTTTAATTAACATCTTTTTAGTACTTATGAGTAATAATGTTCCCAATTCTTAGATACTCACATGATACTCTTTAAGAATGCATTATCATGTGTACCGGGAAAATCCTGACAAGTAAACAATCTGTTTACCTCTAGACATTTTGGCAAAGAAAACATCGTGAGTTTAAGTACAAAAGAAAAAAAATAACAAAGGTTACAAAAAGCATATAAATATCTTACTAAAAAATATCACTTCCGAAAGAATTAGGGACATTGTCTAAACATAATCTCATAGCTTTCAAATAATTTTAGAAAGAGCTGTGATTTCAAATGGGACTCGAGAGAGCCCTAGGGTTCAACAGAGTGAGGCCAGTTAGGCCACAACATGCCCTAGCAACTAAAAGTTGTGTAGTGTGGACTCTAAGTTGGGGAGGATCATACCCACTCAGTGTCTGATGGGCTGTGGCAGTACTTTACTGGAAAAACAAAGTTCTGTGTGCCTTGACATGTCTCATTTGTAACTTGGAAGAACAGTACTAATTTACTCTGTAAGCCTGAAAACAACTAACCAATCCAGAATGAACACCCAAAATGAAAACAAGGCAAGAAAGGTTATAGACATAATAAACAGAACCAATTTGTGAGACAAAATTATATTCCACAATCTTAAAAGTTATCAGAATACTAAAATAAAAACAATACAATCTCTTACAGCTATTACTCCTGTTTATATGTATGGGAAACTAGGTCAGCATCTGAAACAACATCTAAGTGTTCTTAAATTCACTCAGTCAAAAGAACTCCGTCAATGTTCACATCCTAGCAAATGTATTCCTAGCAAAACATATTTCCAGGCAAAGACCAACATAAAAAATTCACAAATGATACTAAGTCACAATTCAGATGGCAAAGTATCCATTAAAAGAAATCAGAAGGCTGGACAGAAAAGGGAAGCTCATGCCTGTAATCTCAGCACTTTGGGAGGCCGAGGCAAGAGGATTACTTGAGCCAGGAAGGTCAAGACCAGTCTAGGCAACAGAGTGAGACCTCATCTCTAAAAAAAGTAAAAATAAAAATAAAATTTGCTAGGCGTGATGGTGTGTGTCTGTAGTCCCAGTTACTCAAGAGGCTTAGGTGAAAAGATCACCTGAGCCCAGCCAGGATGAGGTTGTGGTGAGTTGTGATAGGGCCACTGCACTACAGACTGGGTGACAGACTGAGACACAGACTCAAAAATAAAAAAAAAAAATAATAATAAAGAGTACAGAAGTTAAGAGTTATATCCAAAGCAAAGCATACTTCCAGTAGGAAGACTGATATTCTAAGTAGCAAGAAAAATAAGAGATAAAGTCCAAGTGCAAGTCCTTCTTCTCTCTATTACCCGCTCACATTATCTCAAACACCCCAAGGTTTCCTGTCTATTATCTTCTTGCTCCAAACAGTTTATAAAGAATAATTAGCACATTTTTATAAGCACCAGGAAAGCTGGAGAAGAATGTGAGGGTATAGGTTGAGCATCCTAAATTCAAAACTTTCCGAGTGCCAACATGACACTCAAAGGAAATGCTCACTGGAGAATTTGGATTTGGAATGCTCAACTGATAAGCATGTAGAATACAGATGTTCCAAATCTGAAACACTAAGCGCTTTGGATAAGGGAAATTCTACTGGAAGACCTTTAAGTGTATTTTTTATTTGCAGAGAAATCTCAGAAGAACCTCCAGAAATGACATTAGCATCACTACTCATAATCTTACAAAAATTATTAACAATTATAGAGATGTCAGAAGAGTTACAGAACATTTTTAAAGGAAGGCAAAAGCTTGTTTCTGGTATTTACAATTCAATAAAGTTTGACATCAATCTAACAAAAATCCAATCTGAATTATTTAATAGTTAATTTGTATGTACTCAGAAAATAAAAATATAATGAAGAAACATCTTCTCGTCCCAGAAACACTTTTTTTTTTTTAATCAAATTAACCTTGCTCTGTTTCCCAACTAAGGATACCTGGAATTGCTGTACAGATTTCTGAAAAGTAACGGACATGTTTTAAGAGGGGCAATGATGATGAAGAGTGCTCAGCACAAGGTGAAGCGGATTGGAGGAGAACCTTAGAGAGATGCTGCTGAGAGTAGTGCTTCTTTCCTGCCATTTTCATTTTACAACACACATGAACATGGAAACATTCGTACTACACACCGGAGGTTAAAAGGAGACTGCTACCAAACAGCAGATGTCTAGCCTGGCCCTGCCCGGCTGCCCTGATGGGATCAACACTTTAGGAACATCTGGATATTTGAAGAATTACATAGAAAAGGAAAAAGCACATACATCTTTCAAGGTATTACCTTTCCCCCTTTCCCTAGCACAATACCCTTAGCTTTCTGCCCTGTTCCCTCCAACTCAGGCCAGAAAAGGAACAATTCAAATAAGGAATCTTTCTGCTTCTAAGTTGGTTACATTGGAGGCCTTTTATTTTTTAATCCTTTATAACTTTGGTTTTGAAGTCGGGTGGTAGTGGTCCTTACTGCAGCAAGTCAGGGGAGTTTCCAGTTTTCCTAGGACACAGTCCAACAGGTTCTAGCCTTTATGATAACAACTCTCGAGTTTTTGGTTGTTGCTTTTTAAACTCAACCCCCTTGCAATGCTTAAACTTCTGTCACCTTGAGAACATTATGACTAGTGTCTCTGACAGCCAAAGCAATTGTCAAGCTTCATTTTATTTTTTTAATTGAAATACAGTTCAAATACCATAAAAGTCATCATTTAAAGTGCACGATTCAGTAGTTTTTATAATATTCACAAAGTTGTGCAACTACTACCATTATCTACTTCCAAAGCATTTTTACCATCGCAAAAAGAAACCCCAAATCCAACAGTAGTCACTTCCTATCCTTCCCTCCCCACAACCCCTGACAAATGCTCATCTACTTTCTCTATCCTAGTATGGACATTTCATTTAAATGGACTCATACAATATACGGTCTTTTGCATCTGGTTTCTTTCACTTAGCATAAAGTGTTCAAGGTTCATCCATGCTGTATAGGTAGCATATGTACATACTTTATTCCAGTTTATGACTGGACAATAGTCTAATAGATAGATATATCACATTTTGTTTATCTATTCATCAGTTGATGGATATTTGGGTTGTTTTATGCTTTTTGGTTATTACGAATAATGTAGTTGTAAATATACATATACAAGATTTTGTGTGAACATATGTTTTCAACTCTTTTATAGAGTAGTCCCGCCTTATCCATGATTTCACTTTCTGTGGCTTCAGTTACCCAGTCAATATTTTGCTTTCCAAAAATATAAAATGAAAAATTCTCAAAATAATTCATATGCCATAAACTGCATGATTGTCCTGAGTAACAGGATCAAATCTTGCACCATCCTGCTCTATCCTGCCTGGGACCTGAATCTTCCTTTTGTCCAGCATATCCCCACTGTATCAGGTTACCTGCCTACTAGTCACTTAGTCATCTTGGTTATCAGACTGAAAAAATGATACAGAAAGGGTTCAGTGCTATCTGAGGTGGCAGATATCCCCCGGGGTCTTGACACATCTCCCACACAGACAGGTGGGGACTCCTGTATGTGACCATATACTTAGGAGTGGAATTCCTGGGTCATAGAATCCCTTGCTGCTTAACTTTTTGAAGAACTGCTGAACTGTTTTCTACAGTGGCTGCAGCCAGCAATGAACGAGGGTTCAATTTCTCCACATTCTCCCCCCAATGTTTATTGTTTTCCTTTTCTGTAAAAAAAAATTAGAGTCACCCTAGTAGGTGTAAAATGGTATATCACTGTGGTTTTGACTTGCATAATCCTCATGCTTAGTGATGTTCGCACATTTTCATGTGCTTATTGGCCATTTTTATATCTTCTTTGGGGAAATATCTATTCAAATCCTTAGTTTATTTTTGTGTTGTCCTTTTGTTGTTGTCCTGTAAACATTCTTCATCTATGTGGATACTAAAGGCTTATCAGACATGTGAATTACAAATATTTCTTCCTATTTTATAGATGTTCTTTATTCTCTTAATAGTGTCCTTTGATACACAAAAGTTTTTAATGTTGATGAAGTCCAATTTATTTATTCTATTTTTTCTTCTGTTGCTTGTGCAACAAAATGACACTTTTGGATTTGGGTTTTCTTTTTGGAATGATGAAAATGTCATTTCCAATAATTTACTGCCAAATACAAGGTCATGGGAACATCTCAATTTTGTCTTCCTTTTGGAAGGTTTTAGATTTTTGATGAATATAGAATTATTAGTTGACAGATTGTTTTCTTTTTTTCAAGACTCTGTACATGTTGTCCTAGACCTTCTAGCCTCCACAGCTGCTGGTGAGAAATCAACTACAATCTTATTAAGGATATTGTAATTTCAACTTCATAATACTTTAAAATTATTTCTATCTTTTTATTAATATTCTATATTTGGTAAGATCATTCCTGCAATTTCAGATGGGTGCTCAGACATGGCTTTAGTTCTTTGTACATGTTTAAATAGATGATTTAAAATTTATGTCTGACAAGAGCAACGTCTGTGCTTCCTCAGGGACATTGTCTATTAACTGCGTCTTTTCGTGGGCCATAGGATCTCTGTATCCATGGTTCTGCATTTGTAGATTCAACCAACCACAGATCAAAAATATTTAAAAAAAAACAATAAAAATAACAATACAAGAAAAATAATACAAATAGAAAAACAAAACAGTATAGCTATTTTCATAACATTTTACTTTGTGTTAGGTATTATAAGTAATTTAAAGATGATTAAAACTATACAGGAGAACAAGTGTAGGTTATATGCAAACACTATACCATTTTATATAAGAAACGAGCATTCGTGAATTTTGGTATCTGCAGAGGGTTCTGGAACTAATCCCCACATATACTGAGGGACAACTGTATTCGCATATCTCATAATTTTGTTGTTGTTGAAAACCAGACATTTTAAATAATATAATGTAACAACACTGGAAATCAGATTCCTACCTGCCCCTGAGATTTGCTGTTGTGATTATCTGTTACTATTGCTTCTTCTTGCTGTTTAATGACTTTCCTAAACAAATTCTGTGAAGTCTACAGTCTTTACTATATGTGGCCACAGAAGTGTCTGCCTAGAAGTCTGCTAATGATTGAACAGAAATTTCTTTACACACCTGGAGCCTATAAGTCTCCCAGTCTTTGCTGAGGGACTGTGTGTGTGTTTTAGGGCAACCTCCAACACTCAGCCAGGCAGTTGATAACTCTGCCTTGGTCTTCACTTCCTGCTTGTGCAGAGTTGCAAGGTCAGCCAGAGATAAGAATTTAGGGCTCTCCTACATCTTCCCTGAACATGTGCACACTCTATGTATGCACTTTGCTCTCTAGATTCCGAGTATGTCAGAACTTTACAAAGTTCCTACAGAAATCTCATTATCCAGCTTTTCCTTTAAAGCTTTTTGGTTAGTCTATTGTTTATCCAAATATCATCTACATCTCAGGCAGTCATGAAGTTAAAAGATTTGCCTGTAGTTGTTTTTGACAACAGACAACCTTGGCAGTGAGGTTTCCCAGGGAACAACTAGACAGGCCACATCTTGACAATTCTTTGGTAATGAGGCTTTGAAAGAGCTCCAACTCCGTTTTGCCCCTTTGGTGCCTGAGAGGCTGCAATGGGAAAGCAGGCTGTTATTTTTCAAGGCTATTGCAGAGCTGGAGAGTGAGGGATGGGACTGAGGCAAGTTAAAATGTCACAAAACTCATTCTTTTTACAGAGTTATTCATTTTCTTGATTTAATGCTCCATAGGAATCTGCAAGCCTTTGGTTAAATACAAGGGCTCTAAAAAAGTTGATCCTAATTTTTTTGCCTGTTTTTTTCATTGCTTTTACAGAGAATTTCAAAGATACTTAACTCTACTTTTATTGACAACCTGCTCTTGACTTTGACTTTTATATTACAAAAGCAGTAGGTATTTTGTATAAACTATACACACAACTACTTCACCACCACATTCAAGAATCACACTCCACTGCATAGGAATGAGATGGTTGAGAAGGCTATAAAGCAATACAGACATTGTGTCTCTGCCACTAAGAGGTTTACAATCCACTTTCAAGGACAACACACACGTCAAAAAAGACACAAGATAATATCAGTGCCTAGCACCCTTGGGAGCACTCTTAATAGACAGCAAACTAAGCCCTAAATGAATGACAGATGTAAATACTACAGAATTTCAGAGAAGGGATTCGCTAAGGTGGAAACAGCAACACAAAGACTAGGAATCTCTGTTTAAATCTTGACAGACTAGGATGGAGATGAGAAGAGGGAAGAACAAGCCTAAAAGGAAGGATTGTTCAAAGTTTTAGCGGCCTTTAAATATTCATAATACAGGCCTTTATATACTTTGGATACAAATCCTTTGTCAGATACATGGTTTCCAACACACACATACATAAAAATATAAACTCATACATAAGCAACAATCGTTTGTTTTGAAAGCAAGGTTCACTGATGGATTTAATAGGAGATAAACTTATCAAGAGAGGGGCTTCTTAGCAAAGGGCCCCAGAAGCTACTGTAAGGAGTTATGAATTAATTCTACAGGCCAAGAGGTGGAAACTATGGCTACGCTGTCAGGTCAAATCTTGCTGGCCAACAATTTCTGTAAGTGAAATTTTATTGGAACACAGATATGCCCACTCACTCAATACTGTTCGGGCTGCTTTAGTGCCGCAGTGAGTAAGTTGCAACAGAAACCATTGGCCTATATAGCCTAAAACATTTCCCATCTGACCCTGAAGTTGGTCATGACCTTGGCCCTTACCCTCTGCCTTACACAAACTCAGGTAAGTGGCCCTAATCCTAGATAAAAAGAGAAATTAAAGACACAGAAAACATCCAAGAAACCACTTAAAAAAATCTAGGTATAAGGGAGTACAGCACTAAACTGGGGGAAATTTTGCAGGACTTAGTGACATGTTGAAAGAAAAGAGTAAAAGGTCAAAGATGACTCCAAGGTTCTCAACTTGTGTGAAAGATAGTAGTCATAACCAAAACTGTATGGTTGGAGTAAAGTGAGGTGGACATATAATGAATTTGCCTTTAGACATGTTAAGTTTCAGGTGTTAGTGAAACTCTCAATTGCTGTATTTAAAAAGTTAGAGATATAATACTTTGACTTGGGAAAGATGGCAGGGTTGGAAATGAAGATTTAAAAGTCCCCTGCATAGGTGAAGTCACAAAAAAAATGGAAAAGACTTTCTAAAATAAAGTATTAGGACATACTCACATATATCAAATAGGAGGCAAGGCACAGAGTCAGTGGAGACAGAGAAAGATGGTCTGGGAGAAAAGGCATGAGCCAGGGTAGCATAGTGAAAATCATCTGTAAGCTAAGAATGAAGGCACAAAGATGAAGGAAAGTCTATAAAAGAAAGTGTGAATGGATAAAAGGTCAACTGAAACAGCAAAGTGCCAAAGATGTCAAAAAGGATAACATCAAGCAGGGCCAGTTAATTTTTCAGATGAATTCACAAAATTCAATGTTTTATACTTTCATATTAAAAATCATGCAGAGTAGACTCCACACTTACTTAGAAGATATTCAGCCTTTCCAATGACTTAACTTTCACTGAAATACTCATGTTAAAGGATGAGTTAAAGGAGGATCACACTCTCTATAAGAAACAGTGTCCAAAAAAGGGATCATAGACACGACTGGCAAAGAGAGAAACACAGAGTTACAAAAACCCAATGAAAGGACTTACTAAAAAGAAAAGGTGCTGCACCAGACCATAAAAAACAACAGAAAAGACTGCAAGGATAGAGAGGTATAGTGGTTACTTCCCTAAAGATGACTGTACCTCATTACATACCTTGTCCCAATCCCCCTTAATTAAGTCAGTTATTTTGTCTCCTCACTGCCTGTATGTATAAGATCGAACCAAGTTCCCTGAGTGAAGGATTTTTTACTGCCTAAATCCACATAGTGGATAAATATTCATTGCTTTACTATGCTCGTATATGCTCTTTATTGTAAGTTGCTGGGAAAACTTAATCTGAGTTGAAAAATTATTTTTCATTTCCTATCAGTAAAAAATTCAACCTACCAGCCTACAGATTTACAGAGAGGAAGTAAAAGAAAATTAGAGCCAATAAGCATAGGCATTTGAACAAAACATAGAATAAAAAGGGAAAAATTATATCTCAGTGGCTGACATTTGCTAGGCTAAAGAAACAAAAAAGTCTATTTAAAAGTGGAAATAGTGAATATTTATAATGAAAATGAAAGTTGCTTGCAATAAAGAAGTAGAAAACATTACATAAGTAACACCACTTAAAGACCAAAGAAAATCAATAAGAGTAAGTAGGGTGTTTTAAACTTTCTATAAAGATCCTTTAAAAGAGGTTCAATTGCAGATACACAGGGAAACAGCATTAGAAATGGAGATTACATAGGAAATAACAGAGAGCCCCCGGAGATTTAAAAGTTTAGGAGCACTTTACAACATCCAATTTTACTTCAAAACTACTTGATTATATTATTCATAAAATACATTAGCCATGATATGGAAAGCTTGTTGAGTTACCAATAAAAATTCGAGAAATAAAGGACAAAATAAGAAGATAATGAATAAAAGGATTAGAGTCACTGCCTGACATGAAATTCTCTGAGTCTAAGTTGGTTATCACTAAGTTGGTTAAAAAGCAGGGAAATCATGCATATGAACTCCCAACGAAGGTATAAAAGGAGGCGGCGAGAAAGTTGTGATTCTCCATATTAGCCACTAGGTGGTGGCATTGGCCCAGGACACTTCAGTCATGGAAGTTGAAAAAACAGGTGGGTGGAGTAAGCAATTGCTGGACTATCCGCAGGCACAGGAATGTCAAAGAATGGCATTGTATTTGATTATGTAAGAAAAAACCTTGAAAGCAAACACTCTGAGACATTAGAAAATGTGTCAACAAATTATCAAGGGTTTTACTATGAAACGACCATAGAAATTTAACTGTGTTCGTCCACTCACCTTTACTACATTGTCCCCCGATTGTCCATTATTTCGTAAACAATCTAGACATATAGCAATTTGTGGGTCACTTCTGTGATAGTCCTTGTCATCTTGATTTTCATCACCTTCTTCATCTACTTTAGGCTTGTCAACTTTTGAAGTATCATCTGTATAATTTAAACAAAACTAAGTTAGCTATAACTCAAAGCTGATTTTTAAGCAACAACACATTGATCATCAACACAAAAACAACTTTAAAAAGCACTTCCTAACAGTTTTTTAAAGAATAATCGAATTTTAATATCTTTAAAAGCTCCAACTAATTCAACAATGAAAATATTTTTTAAAAACCATTGGAGACATTAACATAGCCTAAGATTTCTAGGCTCACTGGGACATCCAAATGAAAGATTCAGGATGCGGTCACAGAGTGATTACAATCATTGATGAGAAAGCAAACAGGACATAAACATACTTCCAAATCCTTCCTTCCTTCCTTCCTTCCTTCCTTCCAAATCGTTCCTTCCTTCCAAATCCTTCCTTCCTTCCTTCCTTTCCTCCCTCTCTCCCTCCTTCTCTGTCTCTCTCTCTGAACCAAAATCCCAGCTTCAAGATCCAAATTCTCCACCCAAACTAAAGACCAAATATAAATACTTTAAGAAGTGAGACAGTGGGAAAAAGGAGATAAAGTTCACAAAATAGGCCACAGCCCCTCATAAATTAATCTATGATATACAGAGTCGCAGAATACATCTAGCACACAACTTCTGATGATAATGTCTTGGACTCCTGACCTCTTGGACGGGTAGTCAGAAGAGGAATATTTAACTAACTTTATACTATATAATTTTTATTATAGCACTACTATATTTGCTTGTAACTGTCTAACTGTAATGAACATTTGGGTTTTTAAAAAGTCTTTGTTAAGTCATCTTTTTGGTCAGGCTTAGCTTCTTTGCCCATTTTTTTTTCTTTTTGCTATAGATAAAACATTAGTCTCTTGCGACCTAATTCCCATCAACAAAACTACTCTCAAATCTCCCCTGCTCTAGAAAAACAGCCTTGCACAATTAAGTTGAACTTATAAAACCATGATCTCCATTTTCCAGAAAAATAAAGAGAGATGGCATCCTCTCATCCACTTTAATCATGCATATACTTGACAATCCTATGCTCTTATGGGAAAGCCAAGGTTGGGAGACTGAGCACACAAGTATGCCTAGAAGGATACATGCACATTCTTGAAAAACTTCTATGGCATTTAGAATATTTTGAATTAATTCCATATTTAAAAAACAATGAAAAAGATACTATTTCCTTGTAATTTCTGATATCCTTTTGTGTGGATAATATAAATACTAAGCCCTTGCTCTGTTCAGTAATGCTTGCCACTTTGCTGAAATTATTATTAAATATCACTGGCCAGGTCTGGTGGCTTACACCTGTAATCCCAGCACTGTGCAAGGCTGAGGCATGAGAATTGCTTGAGCCCAGGGGTTCAAGATCAGCCTGGGCAAAAATGCAAGAACCTGTCTCCACAAAAACAAAACAAAACAAACAAAAAACCCCCCAAAAACAGCTCTGCATGGTGGCATGTGTCTGTAGTCCCAGTTACTTGGAAGGTTGAGGCAAGAGGATCACTTGAGCCCAGGAGTTTGAAGCTGAAGTGAGCACTATTGCACTCCAGCCCAGGGGACAGAGCAAGACCCAGTCTCAAAATAAATAAATATACATATATTTTAAATTACTGATTGCTGCATCTCCAAGGACCCAGGGGATATATCTAGACACAGCATAGGTGATAGGAAAAATTTCCATAAGCACTCAGAAATATTTTCTAAATCTCCAGGACATTTAGGTTTGTACCATTTGAGCTATACCTATAACAGCTTTGTTCCAGAGTTCAAAGCATAGCAAAATCCCCTGATCTGGCTCTCAGCCTCGTCTCAGTTCCCTTTTCTGTTAACACAAACATACAAAATAGATAAAACAAAAATCCCCTCACTGCTTAGTTACCAGCTACGGCTATTTCTCATGTCAGCTTCTAGCCAATTTTCTCTTTCATCTCCCTTTTTCTCTTCCCAAAGTCCAATTTCTATTTCCAATGACCTTCAACTGGAGTGACTCCAGAGGTACATACATTTATATAAAATCTCATGAAAAGAAATGGTTCATAATGTAAGTAGAGAGATATACCAATCTTGCGCAGAAAAACTGTGAGCTTGAAGAGAGATCTTAGTTTACCAAATCTACGAAAAACTGATCAATTTGAAAGATACTGCAAGATATAAGAAAAAGTCACCTTGTCCATTTTCTTGAGGCTTATTTTTCTTCCAAAATTCAGATTCACGCTCAAGTTCCTCTAATTTAAAAGAAAAAAAAGGACATAAAAACCATAGGAACAATCATGAAATCTCAAACATAAATGTTGATTCCATAAAACACAAAGTCTGCAAGAACCTGAAGAGCAACTTACGTTCTCGTAGTCCAGGGACCAGCTTAAATATAATTTCCTCTAACGTATTATCCAACCTTTGAAAGAGGGGGAAAAGAATACACTAACAATGAAGACGGCAAAATCCAATATGCAAATAGCTTGAGATACATATCTTATAGATATTACAAAATATGGGGCACACACAATTTTAGCACATCCACTACAAACTCCTCTGCCCAGGAGCACACTATTTCCAGTCGTCCCCGGTGGTAGGCTGATTACAAAATGGTCCCTGTCCCCAGCTCTCTCTATAGTTACAGCTTTGAGCATGACTTGAAATTCCTCCCTTCTCTAAGGGGTGCAGTCTGTTTCCCCACACTGAGAATTTGGGCTAGCCTTGAAACTTACTGAGGCCAACACACTGTGGCATAAATGACCCCATGCATAGTTCTAAGCCTAAGCCTCAGGGGCATCACATGCTTTGAGCATGCTCACTCTCTCTCTTGCAATCCTGCTACCAAGAGGACGAGGCTGGAGGATGAGACATCACATGGAAGAGCACCAAGTTGCCCTGCTGAGGCCACCTTAAGCTAATTCATAGACATCCTACCCTCCACAACAGGTGACAGAACCCAGTCAAGATCAGCAGAGCAGACTACCTGATGCACAGTTAACTGCAGCTGCATAAGCCCAGCCAAGACCAAAAAAACCACCAAGCTATTGCTTCAAAAAGTAACTTAGGAGTGGTCTGCTGCCCACTGATACAATAGTTGATACACCTACTCTTGAAATCCCTATCATGACTCAGCTCTTTCCTACATTGAAAAAAACTTCCATTCTTCCATAGACCATTTAGTTGTCTTCACATTTTTTTCCTCTTTTCTTTTGTCTCGTGTTTTCCCCCCCTTATTTTCTTTTCTGCTATCTAATTCCTCCTTTTCATGGCTTTCATCTCTTGTATCCTATTCTCTTGCCCCCATAGCTCCCTCTTCTGGCTTGATCGCTTTCATCCTGTTCAACAGCATGACTCTCCTTGGACTACAAACATAAATGTATAGTTCTCTCACATCTAGAAAAACCAAAAACCTTTGTTTAACTTGACTCATTGTCTTTTCAAGCCATTATTCTGTTTCTCAATTTTTTCTTCTAATTAGAAAAAATTTGAAAGCATAATCTCCATTATTTCTGTCATATACTATGTGTTGCTTCTTTTACTCTATTGAACTCTTAAGACCATTCATAACTTTCATATCGAATAGATTTACATTTTTTCCAAATTAAAGTTTAAAACTTTAAAAGCTTTAAAAAATTTTTCTATTTCTCCTATATTATTCAGTAGCAGTGTGATAGTGTTGTCCTAGACGGTCTCTCTGAAAATTTCCTTTTCTGGTTTTCTTTTTTTCTGTCCTTTCTTTGTTCCTAATTAAGTAATTTTCTTTTTCCAACTACTTCCAAATCTGAGTATTCTCCATGGCTCTGTACTCTGTACTCTTTGCCCTTTTCTACGGGCTCTCTTCCTTGGGATCTCAGCCACTTTTGTGCCTTCATGCACTTTTTGCCCTCTACTGGATTGCTTCCTTTCAAACACGCCATTATTTCTCCCAAGTCAAAACAAAACAATGCACCTTCTTGACTGTACTTTTGACAACTCCCCCTCCCCTATTTCTTTGTTCTCATTTGTAGCAAAAATCCCTGAAAGCATTGTCTATAGTCACTGTTGCTAATCCTTTTTCCGCAATCCAATCAGGTTTTTGCCTCACAGCTTTAAAGAAGGTCCTCTTGTCAAGGTTGATGGCCTCCATGTTGCTAATCCAAGATGACCACGCTGTCTTCTTTGATAAACGTACTTTCTTCACTTGACCTTTAGAGTTCCACATACTCCTGGATTTTCTTCTACCTCCCTGGTTGTGCCTTCTCAGCTTCCCTTGCTGGTTCCCCCTCTTCTCCCTGAACATTTAATGCTGGAGTGCTCCAGGACTCAATCCCTGGTCCTCTACTACTGTCGCCTCTCTGTACTCTCTCCCTTAAGTGAGCTCATCCTGCCTTAGGGCTTGAAATATCTTCCATATGCTGAAGACTACCAAATATTTATCTCCAGCCCAGACCTCTTCCTTTGAGTCCCAGACTCATGTATCCATTTGCCTACTTTCTCTCTTCTCTGAAATGACTGATAACTCAACACGTCCCAAAGTTGCTCAATCCAAAGTCTTCCTATCTCAGTTAACGACAGCGCCATTCTTCCAATTGCTCAGGTTAGAAATCTTACAGTTATGATCTACTTTCTTCTTTATCTCACACTTTATATCCAAACTCATCAGCAAATCTTGCTGGATCTGCATTCGGCGTATATTCAGAATACGACCACTTCTTGTCCCCTCTACAGCTAACAACTCTTTCCAGGACCACTGCAATTACCTTCTAACTGGTCTCCCTGCTTCTACTCTTGACTTGGCATATGCAGAGAATATATGAATATATAAGAATACAAGAATACATGCTATATTCTTAACACTCTCAAGAGGTTCCTTTAAGATGAAGTCGGTCAGATCATGTCAATTCTCCAGCCAAAATCTGACAGTGGCTCTTCACACCCTGGACGCATTATCTCTTTGCCCTCATCACCCACATTTCTCTCCCTCCCTCACCACCCCCGGCCACCCTAGTCTCACTGATGAATCATCATTCCCTTTTGGCAAGTTGATGGTGCACTCCTGCCTTGGGCCCTCTGCACTGGTGCTCCCTTTGTGTGGAACAGGTGTGCTTTCTTCAGACCTATCCATGGCAAACTCCCTCAGCCTCCAAGTCTTTGCTCAGATTCAGCTCACTGAGGCCTATCCTCGCCATCTTATTTGAAACTGCAGTCTGTGTCTCCCCTACACCCTGCAAGACTTTTCTCTTTCTTCTCTTTGCATTTTTCATGTTCTAACATACTAGGTAAGCTACTTCTTATATAGTTTCTTGTGTCTCTCCCTACAAAAATATTAACATTACGAGGGCAAAGATCTTTATCTGTTTCATCTACTAATGGACCTTGAGTGCCTAGAAAGGTGCTGGACATAGCAGGCATCCAGTAAATATTTTTGGATGAATCATTCCCTCATGGAATTCTCCATCCTCCCACCATCTATAGCTGTGATGCCCAACAGAAATATAATGTGGGTTGAATATGTAATGTACAATATTCTAGTAGGCACATTAACAGAAGTATTTTACATGTTTTGTGTAAAACTAATTTTAATAATGTTTTGTTACACATTAAAATATACTAAATAATACATTTAGTAATGCTTATCTATTTAACAATAAAGTTCTATTTAATGGGAAAATATTTGCACTGCTTCAGGTTTTAACTGAAATTAAGTTAAATTAGAAATTCCATGCCTCAGGTATACTAGCAAATCATGAGTGCTTAATGGCCGCACGCGGCTCATGGCTGCCATTTTGAACAGCACAGATACAGACGGCTTGTCTTCCAGGCCTGCTACACACTGTCATATTCCTTTGCTTCTCTCCTATGTTAGACTCCCCTCTTTCCTGGTTTATGCTCCAGAACATCCTCCAATAACCTACTGAGAAAAGGCACATAAGAGGTACTTTTGGTTCTACAAGTGTAGCAGGCGTTGTTACCCAGTGAAGCAGCCTAGATTCCCCTATTTCTCGCTACCAAATCTGATTATGTTCTGGCAGCAACATGGCCAGCTTCAGGGACAACTCATGATTTCTTAAGGCATCTCATCCTATCACACCCCTTTACCTAGGTTGACATGTGACCTAGCCTGACCAATAAAAGGAAGCCTACTACGGGAAACTTTGGTCAAGGTCTGCTCCACCCAGCTACCTCCTAGTCTCCTGTCTACTCAGGCCTCTAAGGTCTGCTCAGCCATCACCACCACCAATCTGCTTTCTAGCTTTCCATTTCAGCTACATCTCTTCTGCTACCATTTCTTTTCATCCTTTCAACAAGTGTTTACTGAGAAGCTTTTATGCTCCAGGAGCTATCCTAGATGCCAAAATTACAGAATTTCTTGTTCTTATTATCTCTATGAGTTTATGTCTTAAAAACTCCTTTGTAGTAATTTTAGTGGAATTTCAGGAGACAAAAATATATAAAGGCTATCATTAGATAAATTGACAAAACTATAATATGTAAGATAAAGTATCATATCAATGCAATCATACTGTGGTTATGCATGATAACCATTTGTAGGAGGCTTAGCTATCCCTAGCCCCTACCTACCTTATTCTCATGAAATACAAAAGTATTTAAGAGTAAGGGCCATGATATACATAACTTATCCTCAAATGGTTGAGAAAAAATAGAGAGTATGCAATGCATGCATACACATGACAAAGCAAATGGGATAAAATGTTGACAATAGGCTAATCTGGGTAAACAGAATAAAAGTGTTATTTTGGGGATTCTTTGAAGTTACTTCCAAATACAAAGTTTTAAAAATATGATGTCATACGTTAGCCAAGGAATTAGATTTGATTAAATAGTGGCTGGATTCCTTAAGTTATCTAATGATCAGAACCAAAAGATTACGATAAACTGCTTTATGTTGTAGTACTTTAAGAATGGATTAGGTGATAATTATTAATTGTTTGCTACAGTTTTAGTTAAAACCATTAAGGAAAAAATTATTTGAGAGAAAACGTTTGCTTTGTTCTCTGATTTATGCAAGTCAGAGCTTCCTTACCTCAGTACTATCGACAGTTTGGGCTAGGTAAGTTTTGTTGTGCGGGGCATTTCCTGTGCATTTTAGGAGGCTTAGCAGCATCCCTCACCCCCACCTACGAGACGCCAGGAGCACCCACCCAGACCTGACAATCAAAAATGTCTCCAGGTATTGGTAAATGTATCCTGGGAGGGGGAATCACCCCTGGTTAAGTAAAGCACTGATATAACTCCAGCTAGTAGAAGCCTTGCTCAGAACTACAGACCAGAGTTTACCAGAAGTTCTCTAATGCTGATACATATTAGAAACACCTGGAGGGCTTACTAAACTAAGTGAGCTCTAATCCCAGAGTTTCTGATTCAGCAGGTCTGGGGGTGGGACCTGAGAACTGTCATTTCTAAAAGGATATTAATTGTTTGAGGACCAAACTTTGAAAACTATTGGGATAGACATCTATTTGTAGATAAATCACTCCCACCAAAGGCATTAAAATTGAAAACAAAAAATCTGAAATGTGAAACTTGCAAATCAGATTTATAGAATGACGGGAAACATCACACAGATAAGTGAGTTACAAAAGGTTACAAAGAATATCTAGCTCTATTTTTAGATGTGATTGTCCTTAAGATCACACAGGTAGTCTGTTACAGCTATGGCAGGAATAGTGAGAAGAAAATGGGTCTACTGGTGAGGACAGCTGGCCTGTAGCTGGGAAGCGATGTTTGTGGTATGCTGTGAAACTTTAGGTAAAGTCATATCACTTCTATAAATTTCAGTTTCCAAATTGGGAATAAAAGAGTTTGGATTAGAATCTATAGACTACTTTTTTTTTTTTTTTCAGTTGGAGTCACACTCTTGTTGGAGTCACACTCTGCAGCCTTGACCTGCTGGGCTCTGGCTATCCTTCTGCTTCAGCCTTCCAAGTAGCTGAAACTACAGGCACATGCCACCACACCCGGCCTAGTTTTTGTAATTTATTGTAGAAACAAGGTCTCACCAAGTTGTCCAGGCTGGTCTTCAAACCCCTGGGCTCAGGCAATCCTCTCGCCTCAGCCTCTCAAAGTGCTGGGATTACAGTCTGAGCCACTGCTTCAGGCCTATAGACTACTTCTAGCTTTAAACATATATGGTCATACTGCTTAAGTTGAATGGTAAGTAAATGGTAGTCTTCTAAAAAAAATTTGGCCGGGCACGGTGGTGTATGCCTATAATCCCAGCACTTTGGGAAGCTGAGATGGGAGGATTGCTTGAGACCAAGAGTTTGAGACTAGCCTGGGCAACATAGCAAGACTCCATATTTACAAAAAATAAAAAAACATAGCTACACATGGTAGTGTATTTTGTAGTCCCAGCTACTAGGGAGGCTCACTGGGAGGATCGGTTGAGCGCAGAAATTGGAGGCTGCAGAGAGCCACGACAGTGCCACTGCACTTCAGCCCAGGTGACAGTGAAACCCTGTCTCTAAGAAAAGTATTTTTTAAAAAAACATTCTTTATATCAATGTTTATATACTTTTTTGAAAACATAGGAAATTTAAAAAATTAATAGTACTAAGATTAGTCCATGTAGCCCAATTGAATGTAAGGAACATTAAAATACTGAAAACAGGAGGTCAGGACTGCAGTGAGCCGTGACTGTGCCACTGCACTCCAGCCTGGATGACAGAATGAGATTCTGACTTTAAAAAAAAATACTGAAAATACCAGCAACTAAAGTCACTCTTACAGCCAAAAATAAAGTTATAATTTTAATGTGAAAATGTATTTCTTAAATATTTAGAATGTACAACCTTATTTTTTAGCCCTCCTCAATACCTTTAAATGAAATAAAATGCTTTAAAATGAAAATCATAAAATTAGTAAGACCTATATTAACTGAGTCAAAACACCAAGAAATATAATATATACTAAAAATTAAGAGCTATTCATTTATTTAAAGTAGATGAACCATATCATTCATATCCTTACCTCAACATTTCTAATGGATTTGTCTCATGTACTTGGTTGCCACACCTTGGACAATCATTGCTATCTTCAAAGTGCTGAACAATACAAGTCTTACAGACTAGGAAGAAAGAAGACTTCAGGTTAAAATGCATCATATGAACTCCCATTTAAGTTAAACTAAATTCAATTAAAAATAGACCTGAAAATTACTGACTGCAGATAGAATATTATTAAATCAATCTTCATAAAACCTTAAAATTTTATGGCTGCGTAGTATTCCATCGTGTATTTGTATACCTAACCCTTAACTGTACCCCACAATATCATAATAAAAAATACTGATAAATAAAAAAACCTTAAAATTGTAACACTGTAATAATACCCAACTGAAATAAAAACAGCAATCTTTTATTTCAATAAATAAAAAGTATATACTATTTTGCTTATTGTTATTTTGTTTATTGTTTTTCTTAAATATGCTCACAAACCAAATACTACTCTTCTCAATTACCCTTAAAAAGCTGGCATATTTTTATGAAATAGGTTTTTCTTATTTAAAGAAGTAGGACAGATAACAGTAAAAACTAAATCTGCATTTACTTTTTTTGCTAAAAATTTATTTGAAATGCAACACAAATAGTTCCGCCAACTTGAGAGTTTCCAACATGTTTGGATACTTTTATTGGCAGGGTAATCCTGGGACAAATTGGGAGTTACGATGAAGCTGCAGGCCTTTGCAGAGTTCACTGAGTTTGTGCTCACAGATACCACAGTTCTATGGAGCACAGGGTATGGATAATGGTATCAAGTTGATACAAAGGCATGAGCAGTAAATTGGAAGAATGATTGAGCAACTGACAGAGATAGTTAAAATTTTAAATGAAGATGCTAAACAAAGACAATTTTGTGGATTTTTGGTCACAAGCCCATATAGCCAACATTTCCTCCAAATAATACTAATCACTTTGGCTATAAAGCTCCCTCCTTTTTTACCTAAGCTTCATTTATCTATTATGCCAACTGTCCTGCTCCAAAATCTCAGACATAGTTCTAGTACCTGAACTATAAAATTTCAATCAAATTCCCTATCCCAAGTCTCCTCCATTTTGTTACCTTGTTTAATGGGAAATTTTCATGAGGTATATGTAGTTTGGCTCTCCTACTCCCCCTTTGCAACTGTAAGCTACTTATTTCCCCTTCCTCATAACCCACACTATCTAGCAAGAGTTTAATCTAAATGATCAATCAAGAGTAAACACTAGGATTTCTACAACTGAGATTAGGTCTGAAAAGTCAGATGTATCATATATACTGGCCAAAGCAACAATGGTCAGGGACGAACTCTGCCAGGTATCTAATTTTAAAAACATTTTACATATAGAAAACAACATCTTATCATTTCCTTTCACTTATTTATTTATTGACTCAATAGGCATTTATTGAATGCAAGGCATTATATCAGGAGCTGAGGATGCAAGGGTCAACAAAAACCAAGTCCATATTCTTAAGGAGCTTATATTCCATTTAGGAGGGCAAACAAATAATTGTAGTTAATAAGTGATATTTTTATCTCCCCCTTCCAAAAAAAAAGAGAGAGAGAGAGAGACAGTGCTGGGGGCTGGCAGCTATTTTAGATAGGGGAATCAGGGTAGTACTTTCTAAGGTGGTGACATTTGAGAAATTTTTGTTGAATAAATGTACCTGAATCCCATACTCTCTACCTCTTTTCACCATTTTACACATGGCTATAAGGATAACACTGCCTTTACTACAATTTTCTCAAAATGTAGGTGAAAGTATCTGCAAACTTTTAAAAAAGCTTAGCTATAAAAAGCTAGCCTAGGGTTATCATGTAGAATTGAATATCTCCTCTTCCCCTCAAATTTCTTCTCCCCAAAAGGGTTTCTAAATGTCTTTTCAAAAGTCAAAATAATCATTTAGAAGAGACAGCTGCCTCATTAAGCCACATTTAAGAATAAGACAGAGAAGCTGAATTCCTTTATAAGATTACTAGTATCTGGTCTTTTCCCCGGGATGCTAGATGAGTCTGAAATTTGGGAAAGAGGCAAAAAGAACAGATAAGAAATAAGAGTGAAGAGATTTTACAAAGTCTGATCCTGACCTGGAGCTCTGATCCAGTAGTTCCAAGGTTTATCATATTCAACGGTTCAGCAATCCCTGGCTGTCTATCAGCCTTGACCAAATAGAGAGTTACATGACAAGACCAGAGCAAGTTCTCATCCGGGTCAGCCAAAAGGCTAAGGGAAGGACCCTATCCACCCAGAAGCAAGAGTATAAGCTAGGTTGCTGATGAAAGAGATGTAAGACTCAAACACCAAAGGGTAAAAGGTTATGCCAATTGCTTAAGGCCAAGAACACTGATGAAGAATACTTATCTATATTTGAGATCTGCGCTGTCCTATACAGGGGGCACCAGTCGCATGTGACTTATTCAGCACTTCAGATGTGGCTAGTTCATGTTGAAATCACATTAGATTTCAAAGACTTAACATGAAAAGTAATCTCAATAATTTTTATATTAATTACATGTTAAAATGACAATATTGTAGACATATTGAGTTAAATAAATTATTAAAATTAATTTTCCTTGTTTATTTTTTAATGTGGCTATTAGAAAAAGTTTAAATAACACCTGGCTCACATTGCATTTCCACTGAAGAGTGCAATTCTACATGGAGACAGAAACCCCCAACAAGAAGTGAATTTAGTTTTCACACCAACATTTGAGATACGATGTCTTATTTTTCTTTTGCAGATGAAGAAGAGGTTTCAATAGACCAGGTTACCTGTCCACTCTAGTGACTGGCAGCACAAAGACTTAAATCCAGGTTTTCTGACATAAATTAAAAAAAAAAAATCAGAGGCCAAGACCAAAAACTGTTTTGCACTAAAAAAAATTTCAGATTGTTTTAGAAAAAGAAAAATTTAAGATGTTTAACTGTATTTTTACTCAAGTTTTCCTTTTTGTTAGATGATTTAGTGGTCAACATTACTATCACCACTGTCATCATCAACATTTAAAGGATTTATGTAGCAATATACACATATATTGAACCTATATGTGTATGTATGTCCTAATCAATGTATATTTAATTCAACACAATAATTTAATCCTCACCACAGGCCTATGAATTAGTTAGCATTATTAGACCTCTTACAGATGAAGAAATGAAGTAAAGAACTTCAGTAAGTTGCCCAAAATCATGAAGCCAGTAAACAGTTAAAGCTAAGATTTGAATCCACTTTCTTAATTAATGCATGTCTATATTATATTTTCTTCAAATTTTATTAATATGCAGAAAGAGAATGTTTTATCTTTTTAATTTGGAAGCCTCAAATACATCTACTTGTAGAATCAGACCTCCTTTTAAACTGTATAGTTTGCACAAAATAGCCCTTTTAAGTAGTTTATATATTCCTTTAAATATCATTAGAAAGTGTATCTCTCACATGGCTTTTAAAAACTGTTAAATAAAGCACAACCTTATATAAATTAGAACCTGAGGAAATCCACCAGAAGTTCAGTGAAACTGAAAAAAAGAAATAAAACAAGAATTTGGTTTTCCCAGATACTTTAAAAAACTTCTTATGACTGCAAAACTGAACTTTGTTCTTAATTTATAATTTGGAGTCTATACTAGTGATAAAGCACATTTTAAAACATCTTCAAGATTGAATGCCAAGCTTTGCAACTGCTCATCTGCTGTACTGGTGAACTCAATTGGTCCAAGAATGATGTTAAACAGAGCCTAGTCTATGTATGGGTAAGACTACGTATGGGGACCAACTAGAATCTTTATTCCCATCAGCTACTCTACAGACAGATGCTACAGGCATAAGAAGCACCTGGGTCAGAAAGGGAGTGAGGCTCACCAAAGACATCCCCAGTTGGAAAAATGCTTAAATCACAAGTGCTAAACACTAGGCACTAATAAAGCAACATCTTGGACTCAGGGCTTTGTGTGAATTATAGTATGGACTGTTACTATACCCCTTTGGCAAATGAGGAACTCAGTGCAGGAGAGACTGACCAGGCTGCCCACAGCTGCTCAGCTGAGTAATCCAAACTGCTGAGTAACACATCTTAGAGTGAATAACATTTGGTCCCAGGCATCAAGATTTCATATTTTTTATTGATTGCTACATTTAGCTCACCACAAGCATTATTAAACTTTTGCCTAAAGTTTGTTAAGTGAATTTTTTACTTTTACCATTTCACAGAGTTGAATGAGGTTGTTGCATAAATTAACAGAAAAATGGTCATTGTGTCATCTAAAGCTGTAGTTCTCAAAATTAAGATGGGCATCACAATCACCAATGATATTTTTTAAAGAACAGATTCACGGGCTCCATCCCAGGCCAATGAAGTCAGAATATCTGGGAGATAAGCACCAGGACTCTAACTCTGCAATGCCCACTCAGCCAAAAGGTAACTGGGAAACTCTGGCCTTACAGAGAGTGACTCTTTCAGTTGCCCCATTCTAGGATTTGGCTCTCTGCTAAGCCACCATCCGAAGTCACTTTATTCTCACCATTAAGAACTCACAGTCACAGGACAAAAAATCACCAAATAATATGTGGCTAATATCTTTCCCTATAATGCAGATCTACATGAGAAGCCAAGGTACAGCATAGTCATTCCAGACCATCTTGAGGCAGGCTGCCTAGATCTAAACCCCAGTTCTGCCATTAAGCAGTTTTCTCTTTGTGTCTCTGCACACAAGGAAGATAACAAAAACCTATCTCACAGGGTTCTTGTGAAAATTAAATGAAGTAATATATGTAAAGTTTACTGGCTTAAAGTATCTTGTAAATATTCAATAAATGTGAGCTATTACTATAAATTAGATTGCTAGATGAGCATAAAATCATAAGGAGAATTAGCATCAGAATACTGAATAACAGATTATGATGAGTTTGATCACCAATCTAAAATAACAGATGATCTTCCTAATGGAACTTGAAATGCCTATCAATCATTGGTATTAATTTCCTGCAGCCATTTCTATCCTAGGGATAGTCTTGGAACTCAAGAATGATGTTAAGACACATTGTTTCACCGAAAAGGGAACTGACTACCTTGCATGTAAGACACTT